GCATTTCCACCAGCAAAAAATAAAAGTGTTTGTTTCCTGACTACTTTGTCAACACATTTTGCTGTCAACCTTTTAGATTTTTGCCAATCTGATAGTTGAGAAATAGTATCTCACTGTAGTTTTAATTTGCTTTCTTTTGTTACAAGTATGATTGCACATTTTTTCATATATTTAAAGGTCCTATATTTTCATTTATTTTTTTTTTTTTTGTGAATGTGTGTTTATATCTCTTGCCTATTTCCCACAAGGGGATGGTTTTCCTTTTCTTCTCCATCTTTTTAAGCCCTTCATATATTAGGGATATTTAGAGTGAGGGGCTGGAGGTGGCTAGTGGCAGCTTACAAGTGTTAAATCATCAGGAATTCTATGACCCAGTAGATGCCATATCAGTACAGTTGAGTGCATTTCGGGAATTTAAAATCTGTTTTGGTGGGAATATTTACACCATGGTAATTGGCAAGTCCTATGAATCAGGAAGTCCTCCTTGCCCTCCAGGACACAACCATTGGACGTGAATCTTCTATAAGTTGGAAATATTTTTTCCCAGTTTTTAACTTGTCTTTTTGTTTTGCTTATGATGTGTTTTGCTATGCAAAAAAATTTTATTGTTGCTGTTGTTTTGGATAATGCAAATTTCAGAGGGAGAAGCAGGCTCCCTGCTGAGCAGGGAGCCCAATGCGGGACTTGATCCCAGGACCCTGGGATTATGACCTGAGCCGAAGGCAGACACTTAACTGACTGAGCCACCCAGGCGCCCCTGTTTTTGGATTTTTCTACTTTATTTTATTGATCTATGTATTCAGGTCCCAGTACCTAAATCTTATTATCCAGGCCTTATAATGTTTTAATAACTGGTAGGGCTAGCCTCTCTTCATTTTCTTCTTTCTCAGGGCTTTCCCAAATATTCTTGCTTATTTAATCTTCCAAGTGAGCGTTATAATAAAATTGTCTTAATTCTAAGCCTCCTTCTTCTGTTGCTTTTGCCAAGTGTTAAAAAAAATACGGCCTTGTATTTTCTGACTTGTGACTCCTCTGGCCTGTACCCCCACTTTAGTGGGGACCTTCTCTTTTCCCCCGATGTCCTTGTTCTCGGTAATTTGAATTCTACTCCCAGGTGTTTCCTCGCAGAGAAAGCATTTTGTAAACTTCATCTAGCACTTCTGGAAATCACTAATTCTGATGCTGAATAGCTATGGGATTTGGAACAAAACCATTTCCAGATTTTTTCAGCTATATACTGTAAATTAAAAAATATTCTATTTCATAGGGGTTTTGTTTTGTATAATTAGAAGTCATTTTCAGTCTGTTCTCAGTCGTACCTATCAGCGGAATTGGACTCCTGTAAGCACTCCCTCCGTGAAACACATTTGGCTGACCCCTCTCCTCCTCACACTCCTTCAGTGTTTCCTCCTCAGCCTCCAAATGGTGGAGCGCCCCAGAACTCAGATTTCAGACCTCTTCTCTCATCTAAACTCACTCCCTTAGTGAGTTTATACTATCTTGAGAATTTAACTGAGGACTTCCAAATTCTGTATCTCCAGCCTGGACCTGCACCATGTCCTCAAAATGTGTACCTCTACCTCTAATCGCTTCCTTATCAACTCCCAATGGATGTCTCCAAGGCGTCTCCAATTTAACTTATCCCAAAACAATTCTGATATTCTCCCCCCAGACCAGTTTCCCTTACAGTCTTCCCAAGCTCAGTTAATGACAATTCTGTTCTCGTAGCTGAGGGGAAAAACTTTCTGTCCACTCTCGAGTCCACCTACCCCCGGGTTCACTCATGCGGCCACAGGGAGCAGCTCGGCTGGACCGGCTGGAGTGACAGGGCCAGGCGGTCTCTCTCCACACTGGTCTATCTCGGGCTTCTTCAGGCCTGGCTTCAGCAGGATTCCTAGAGGGCAAGCCCCAGCATACAAGCCCTTCTTAAATCTCTTCTCGACTTACAGCTTCTGATGTAGCAGTATGAGCTCCATGTCTTTGCTACTGGAGCCAGGGAACTGGCCCCCCGGATGCCTATGTATGGATGACTGTGCCCGGTCCAGCTGCCAGGAGATTTCCCAGTGTGGCAGTTACTTACTCATTTGTAATCAACACACTTTAGCAAAGCTGCAGTTAGTTGGCAGCTTTGTGGGGCCTATTGATGTGACCACAACACTCAGCTTTTCCTCCCCAATGACAGGATAATTCCTCAGCTCTTTTGTCGACACGCTTTTTTTTCTAAGGCAAATTCCCCCAGGATTTTCTTTCGGGGCTCTTTTGCAGCTAAAAGCTCACGTGTCCCCAGCTTTGGGGAATAGACGCCTTTGCTCTACACTTTCAGGTTTCCTAGTGTTTCATAACTTGTACCTGCCCAGACTTTTCCCGTCTTTTGTTAGTTCTGTTTCGTAAATTTTCCAATCCTTTCATGCATGTTCTTTTTCTTTACCTAATCCCTTCCTTTGATTTCCTTGGGTTATTTTCATGTCCTTTTTCTAACCACAGGAACTGAATGTTTAATTCATTTGTTTTCATTCTTTCTTAATCATATTACAAGCCATTAAATTTCCTTTTTTTTTTTAATAGATACTGACTTATTTGAGAGAGAGAGAGCACGCAAGTGAGCACGAGGGGGCAGGGAGCAGACTCTCTGCTGAGCAGGGAGCCCAACTTGGGACTTGATCCCAGGACCCTGAGATCATGACCTGAGACCAAGGCAGATGCTCAACAGACTGAGCCACCCAGGCGACCCCAAGCTATTGAACTATTAAATAAGTACACCACCTTCTACCCATTAAATCCCCCCATCCAGTCACCCAGCTCAGATACTCACCCTGTAGCTGGTATTGTACTTTACACACATTATATTTACAACCCATACTAATCTTCCATGCCCATTTCACAGATGAAATACGTACTCAGAGGTCTCTCTTGGGGCGCCCCGCTGCCTCAGTCAAAAGAGCATGTGAGTCTTGATCTCAGGGTCGTGAGTTCAAGCCCCACGTTGGGTGTAGAGATTACTAAAAAAAAATAATAATAATAATAGGGCGCCTGGGTGGCTCAGTTGGTTGAGCGACTGCCTTCGGCTCAGGTCATGATCCTGGAGTCCCTGGATCGAGTCCCACATCGGGCTCCCTGCCCGGCAAGGAGCCTGCTTCTCCCTCTAACCCTCCCCCCTCTCATGTACTTTCTCGCTCTCTCAAATAAATAAATAAATCTTTAAAATAATAATAATAATAATAAATTTTAAAAAATGTCTGCGTTGTGGTTCTATTCCTGGGACATTTGACCATTCAGTTTTAAGGCTTCCTCCTAGGCTGTGCCCGTCTCCCTCTATCTCCTAATTCGATGCTCATAGCAAATGCCATTTCTTCAAAGTAAAGGTTCGTCAAGCACTGACCACCTGATCTAAAACAGCCTCCCTCCACACTTCCACACATGCTATTTTATTCTGTTCATAGCACTACCTCAAATTATCTTGTTCATTTATTTGTTTCCTTGCGATGGTCTGCGTCCACCACTGAACTTTAAACTTCAGGGAACAGACATTTTTGTCTTGTTCCACGCCGCGTTCCTGAGGCTCCTCAGAGTCGGGGGAGCGCACTGAGCGTGAGTAAGTATTTATGGCATCAGTGCGCTGCCGAAAGCAAACAATGCAGGTGTGCAGGAGCCAGCGCTTCTGGACTCGGCCGGAGTAGAAGCAACAGCTACGGGGCCCCTGGGTGGCTCAGTCCTTAAGCGTCTGCCTTCGGCTCGGGTCATGATCCCAGGGTCCTGTGATCGAGCCCTGCATCAGGTTCCCTGCTTGGCGGGAAGCCTGCTTCTCCCTCTCCCACTCTCCCTGCTTGTGATCCCTCTCTCGCAGTCTCTCTCTCTGTCAAATAAATAAAATCTTAAAAAATTAAAAAAATTAAAAAATAAAATTTAACTGGTGCCCTGGGGCGCCTGGGTGGCTCAGTCGTTAAGCATCTGCCTTCGGCTCGGGTCATGATCCCAGGGTCCTGGGATCGAGCCCCGCATCGGGCTCCCTGCTCGGCGGGAAGCCCGCTTCTCCCTCTCCCGCTCCCCCTGCTTGTGTCCCCTCTCTCGCCGTCTCTCTCTGTCAAATAAATAAAATCTTAAAAAATAAAAAAAATAAAATAAAATTTAACTGGTGCCCTGGGGCGCCTGGGTGGCTCAGTTATTAAGCGTCTGCCTTCGGCTCGGGTCCTGATCCCAGGGTCCTGGGATCGAGCCCCGCATCGGGCTCCCTGCTAGGCGGGGAGCCTGCTTCTCCCTCTCCCGCTCCCCCTGCTTGTGTCCCCTCTCTCGCCGTCTCTCTCTGTCAAATAAATAAAATCTTAAAAAATAAAAAAAATAAAATAAAATTTAACTGGTGCCCTGGGGCGCCTGGGTGGCTCAGTCCTTAAGCGTCTGCCTTCGACTCAGGTCATGAACCTGGGATCGAGCCCCGCATCGGGCTCCCTGCTCAGCGGGAGGCCTGCTTCCCCCTCTCCCGCTCCCCCTGCTTGTGTCCCCTCTCTCGCCGTCTCTCTCTCTGTCGAAAAAATAAAGTCTTAAAAAAAAAAAGGCAACAGCTACTTCAGAACCCGAACGTGTGATCGTGGGCGGTGGGGGGCGCCCCCGCATCGATGTGACTTAGGGCAGCTCACTGCATTTCAGCTGGGTGTCCCCTCCTGTGACAAGAGGAGCAAAGGGTCATAGGCACCCGCTGTGATGGGACACAAGTACAAACGAACCTCACAAACCGGAGGAGGAGCGGGGGCCCAGCAGCACAGGCGGAGGAGGGGACAGTGTGGGGACCCGGGATTGGCGGCGAGGGGGGCGCAGGGCTTGGGGGCGGCACGAGGGAGCGCCTGCGCAGGACGGGGCGGGGCGGGGGGGCGGGGCAGGCGGGGCACGAAGGGGGCGCCGAGGAGGCCCGCGGGGGGGCGCGGGCGGGCGGCGGGGGGGCGCGGAGGGGCGGGACGCGGGGCGGGGCCGCCGCCGCACTTCCGGGAGCGCCTGGGCGCCGCGCCCGCCTTCGGTGCGCGGCGCCGCCCGCCGGCCAGCCCCGAGCCCGCCGGCCAGCCCCGAGCCCGCCGGCCAGCCCCGAGCCCACCGGCGGGGAGCGCGCGCCGCCCGGCGGCTCCCTCCGGCCATGGGGGCGTCCGCGCGGCTGGTGCGCGCGGTGATCATGGGGGCGCCGGGCTCGGGCAAGGGCACCGTGTCGTCGCGCATCACCAGGCACTTCGCGCTGAAGCACCTCTCCAGCGGGGACCTGCTCCGAGACAACATGCTTCGGGGCACAGGTGGGAGCCGGGGCCGGAGGGGTGGCGTGCGCCGTCGCCGGGGCCGGGGTTTGCGGGCGGGGGTGCGGATCTGGGGAAAGCGGGGCCCCGGGATGCGGCGGGGCCGGGGGCGCGGGTCCCGGGCGGGATGCGGGTTCCCGGATGCAGGACCAGGGATGCGGACGCGGCATCCCCCTCCCGCCGCCCAGGGGAGAGACCTCAGGCAGCCGAGCAGTTGCGCCCCGAAAGCTCCAGCCTCCGGGGGCAGCTTTGGGCAGGTTACTGGGGGGAAAGACTCGAGAGTTAGGGCAGGTCGAAGTTCAGAGTTTAAAATGAGCTGCTGGGCTTTGTTTGAGAAGCACGTCCAGGTCCAGTCGCTGCTGCTCGCTTAGGAACACGTGCCCTTCCACCTGGAGAACTGCAGTTTGACCTGAAGGGTTTGCTCTTCCTTTTTTTTAGTTTTTTTTTTTTTTTTTTTTTTTGGTTGAACTCTGGGATTTTTCTGGATCCACCCTTTCTCCCATAATCTGAAGGCCCGCTATTTGTGCTCGTTGCAATCACAAAATTGGCTTAGATCTTTGATACCCCAGAGATTTCTTAGGAAAGCTATTGTGCATAGTTATCTGAAAGACTGTTTCTCATGCCATATAAATTCTTAGAACTCAGCACCAAATCCAGTCAACAAAGTCTGTACTTTACAATGGATGAATTTTATGTTAAGCAAATTATATCTTAAGAAAGCTGTTTTTATTTTTTTATTGTTTTAAATTTTTCTAAAAAAGATGTTAAAATATTTTTCTTAAACTAACTTCTACACCCATGTGGGACTTGAACTCACCACCGGGAGATCCGAGATCAAGAGTCTCACGCTCTACCGACTGAGCCAACCAGGGCCCCAAGAAAGATGTTTTTAAAAAGTCAACAGTAAGATGAGGTTTTTTTTCCTCAAAGGTGTTGACCTTTATTTTCCAAAACAGAACTCATTTTGAACCTCCTTTTTAAAAAATTTTAGAAGTAATGCCTGCGCAAGGTAAAAAAAAGGATTGGAAAAAGGACAGAAATACATGTAATGAAAAGTAAAGCCCTCTCTCCTTCCCTGCCTCAATTCAAATCTTCACAGGGGAACACGACCTGTGTTTCCTTTTAGAAATGTGTATTTGTGTACAAATACACACGATCTAGCCCTTACTTTATGTAGTATGCAATCATACTATGTATGTATTCTGCACCAGCGTATTTTCACTTTATATCTAGGATATTTTTCCACATCAGAACATAAAAATCCAGCTCATTCTGTTCATGTTTGTATAGGTATCTGTTTGCTGAACCTAGATCATTTCTAGGTGGGGTTTTTGTCTGTTGTTTCAGAATGTAAGTGAAAAAAAGAACCACCTCGATGTTTTTAGTTTGTCTGAGTCTGGCAAATGACTGCTTTTGTTTTTCTCTTCTAGCATTGATCATTTAAGAAACGTACAGTGTATAGTGTTTTGTGGTCAGTTAACACTTCTTCAAAAGGTTAAATTGTTTGGCCTGCTTGCTAAATGTTCTTGTGCAACATACTTAAGTAGTTAGGTAACAATGAACAGCCTCCAACCCGGCACCTGGTGGGGGTAAGGTTATCCAGAGTGGGAAGGCATAAGGAATGCATAAGGGATTCTCTGAAAAATAACTGAGCAGTGAGGTATCACTGTGTGGTGAAAGAACACTTTCGGCAGCGAGTTAAGGTGCCACTGATTTGTGAAAACATAAAGCATTTTTAAAAAATTAAATTGAGGGGCGCCTGGGTGGCTCAGTTGGTTAAGCGACTGCCTTCGGCTCAGGTCATGATCCTGGAGTCCCGGGATCGAGTCCCGCATCGGGCTCCCTGCTCAGTGGGGGGTCTGCTTCTCCCTCTGACCCTCCCCCCTCTCATGTGCTCTCTCTCTCTCATTCTCTCTGTCTCAAGTGAATAAATAAAATCTTTAAAAAAAAAAAATTAAATTGAAAGCCAATGAAGTAAACTTTTTCAAAATTAAGAAACAATGCTCTGTTTAGCCTTAACGTCCCCGGACAGGCCCACTGTTCTCTTTCTCGCTCCATGTGGAGAAAGGGAGGCGGGAGGGAGGGGTGGGAGCATCCCTTGGAAAAAAGTCCAGCTCGCCTCAGGTGCCTGCTTGTCTTTAAAAGGTCTTTAAAAACAGCAGTTCTTTAACAAAGAAAACAGAAAATGGAGCTTAGGGAGGTGTCAGGAGATTGTTATTACAGATGTTCTTCTGTATCTCAGGACTAAGAATATATTCTCAATAAATATTTTTCTCTTCTCTTTTTTTTTTTTTTAAGTGGGATTGCATATTTCCCACAGGATCAGAGCCAAAAAAGAGGTGTAGTCTTTTATTAAAAATTACAGCTTTGTGTTTTTTGATACTAAAAGTAAAGTATATTTATTATAAAGGAAGAAAAATATGTCATGAGAATATAAAAAAGAGAATTAAAATCCTCATAATTCCACCACCCGGAAACAATTACAATTAACCCTTTAGTGCCTTATATGCTTTTTTCTTTGTTTTTTACTCTGTTGCATCTGTATGTATTTGCAAAATTGTTGCATTCTAAATGATTGCTCATATACCTTTTTTCTCACTTATTGGGAGCATGTCCACACACCACGAGGCAGTCTTAAAAATGATATTTAATTTTTTAATTTATACATTTTTTTAAAGATTTTATTTATTTATTTATCTGACAGAGAGAGAGAGAGCACGCGCGTGCACACAAGCAGGGGGAGGGGCAGGCAGAGTGAGAGGGAGAAGCAGACTCCCCGCTAAGCAGAGAGCCCCATGAGGGACTCAATCCCAGGATCATGACCTGAGCTGAAGGCAGATGCTTCACTGACTGAGCCATCCAGGTGCCCCGAAAATGATATTTAATTTTAACCTTTTCCTATCATTGGACATTTATGTTGTTAACCATTCTTTGCTATAATAAGTACTGTTATGCCGTGGCATGAACACTTGGCAGCATCTCTGCTTATTTCCTTCCAATATGAAACCCTTAGCGTGGAATTTCTATAAACGTGGTCCTGTCAAATAGTGCTGGGAAAGAGGGCACCTGTTTACTCTCAAACCACTATTTCATTGGGGTCCTGTGTTTTAACCTGGAGCTGTATTTTTTAGCTAAAGTTTAAAATCAACACAGAGGATGTGACAAGGACAACTGGACACACGAGGCCCCCTGCTGGCGGGAGCAGACGTGGAGTAAGGGTGGCCAGCCCTGACCCCGGAGTCAAGAGGCTGGAGCCTGACCCTTAGACATTAGGCCAGCCCTCTGGTTTAAAGATAAGCGACTGAGTGCAGGAGAGGTTGCAAAACTCGCTCAATTACAAACAGCAGTTACTGGGAGACAAGGGTGAACACCCAGATCTCCTCGAGCACCAGGTAGACACTTTCCCTGATGCAGTGTTGATGGTCAGGAGATCATTTTAGGTGGACACAGTTTTTTAATCTATTTATTTCAAAGGATATTTGAAAAGCAACAAACACACCAACCCTTTATTTTTATGAACATGATAATTCGTTAATTGGAGAAGCTGGGTCGCTTTGAAGAAAGTTATGCAGTAAGTAATAGTCCAGCTGTGGCAGAAATTGTGAGGTTGCCATGGGATTGCCCAAAGTTTGAGAAACTGCCTTGTGGCTTAGTGTTTCTCAAAGACAGAACCTTGCACTAGATGGCTGATCCTCTCGAATGTCCTTTGTGCTCATCTGTATGTTGGGGAAACTGAACTCAGTAGAAGATCTTCAAAGGCTCCGTCAGCTGCCAAGATTCCCTGACAAAACTTTTATCATCTACACCTGTGCAGCTTAGGCGCCCCTAATTAGAATGATTTTGACGGTAGGGCAAGTTATTTTTGTAATGGCAAAAACCCCCAAAGCCCTCACTTATAAGAGGCAATATATTAAGACATGTATCATATGACCTCACTGATATGAGGAATTCTTAATCGCAGGAAACAAACTGAGGGTTGCTGGAGTGGGGGGTGGGGTGGGAGGGATGGGGTGGCTGGGTGATAGACACTGGGGAGGGTATGTGCTCTGGTAAGCGCTGTGAATTGTGCAAGACTGCTGAATCTCAGATCTGTACCTATGAAACAAATAATGCAATATATGTTAAGAAAAAAAGAAGAAGAAGAAGGTAGCAGGAGGGGAAGAATGAAGGGGGGGAAAATCAGAGGGGTAGACGAACCATGAGAGACGATGGACTCTGAAAAACAAACTGAGGGTTCTAGAGGGGAGGGGGTGGGAGGATGGGTTGGCCTGGTGGTGGGTATTGAGGAGGGCACATTCTGCATGGAGCACTGGGTGTTATGCACAAACAACGAATCATGGAACACTACATCTAAAACTAATGATGTAATGTAGGGGATTAACATAAGAATAAAAAAAAAAAGAGGCAATATATTTACATCGTTTGGAATTCCAAAAATTGTGAAAGGGCATTTAGTGAAAAGATCCTTCTAGAGCTATTTCATGTATGTACAACCAAATGTTTACCTGTTCTTCCCTTGTTTGTTATTTCTTACAGAAATGGCAGTAAACTGTAATACTGTTCTGTACCTTTCATAATAGTGCTTTTGATAAGGATTGCCTCATTTTTAACAGCTTTATTGAGATCTAATATACCATATATTTTACCCATTTAAAGTTAAGATTTTATTTATTTATCTGACAGAGAGAGAGACAGCGAGAGAGGGAACACAAGCAGGGGGAGTGGGAGAGGGAGAAGCAGGCTTCCCGCCGAGCAGGGAGCCCGATGTGGGGCTTGATCCCAGGACTCTGGGATCAGGACCTGAGCTGAAGGCAGTTGCTTAACGACTGAGCCACCCAGGCGCCCCTGGAGTTTACAATTTAGTGGACTTTAGTATATACGCAGAGTTGTGCAACCATTAACACAATCAATTTTAGAACATTTTCATTACCCCCCAAAGAGACCTCATACCCATTAGCAGTCACTCCTGTCCCCCTCCCTCCCACCCCACCCCCCAATCTGAGCCCCTGGCAACTCTGATCGACTTTCTGCCTCTATTGATTTGCCTATTCTGAACATTTCAGACAAATGGACTCATACAATATGTGGTCTTTTGTGTCTGGCTTCTTTCACTTAGCATGAGGTTTTCACGGTTCAAGGTGTTGTAGTGTGTGTTGCTTCTCCATCCGTTTTATTGCTGAGTGGTACTTCATCAAATGGATGTAGCAGATTTTATTTACCCATTCATGAGTTGGTGGACTTGTCTTCAAGTTCATACACTTTGTAACATACATCAGTATTTCTTTTTATGGCCGAGTGATATAATTTTGTATAGATATGTCACATTTTATTTATCCATTAATCACTTGGCAGACATTTGAGTTTCCACTTTTCGGCTATTGTGAATAATGTTGCTTTGAACACTCATGTATAAGTTTTGTGTAGATGTCTGTTTTAATTTCTCTTGGATGTGTGTGTGTATACACCTTGGCATGGCATGCAATTGCTAGGTAAGATGCTAACTCTTTTTAACATTTTGAAAACTGCCACAGTATTTTTCCAATTTGGCTACAGCATTTAAAACCCTACCAGCAATAGAGGAGGGTTTCCATTTCTCAACATTCTTGCCAACACTTGATATTATCTGTCTCTTTGATTATAGTCATCCTGCTGAGTGTGAAATGGTATCTCATTGTGGTTTCCATTTCTATTTCCTTAATGACTAGTCATGTTGAGCATCTTTCCATGTGCTTATTGTCCACTTGTGTATCTGCTTTTTGTATTCAGATCCTTTTCCCATTTTTAAAAATGGGTTGTCTTTTTATTGTGTAAGAATTACGTCTTTTATTGTTGTAAGAATTCTTTAGATATTCTATATACAAGTTCCTTATCAGATACAGGATTTACAAAAATTTTCTTCCTTTCAGTGGATTGTCTTTTCACTTTTGTTGTGTTCTTTGAAGCATAAAGGTTTTTAATTTTAATGAATCCAATTCATCTATTTTTTCTTTTTTTTTTTTTTTAAAGATTTTATTTATTTGACAGAGACAGAGATAGCGAGAGCAGGAACACAAGCAGGGGGAGTGAGAGAGGGAGAAGCCAGGCTTCCCGCTGAGCAGGGAGCCCGATGCGGGGCTCGATCCCAGGACCCTGGGATCATGACCTGAGGCAAAGGCAGATGCTTAAGCGCCCTCATCTATTTTTTCTTTTGTTGATTGTGCTTTTGGCTTCATGTCTAAGAAACCATTGCCTGATGAATAGTCATGAGGATTTATGCCTATGTTTTAAGAGTTTTGTAGTTTTAGCTCTTAACTTTAGGTCTGTGATTGATATTAATTTTTATATTTGCTGTGAGGTAGAGGTCCAACTTTATTCTCTTATGTCTGTATATTCAGTTGTCCCAGCACCATTTGTTGAAAAGACTGTTCTTTCCCCCATGGAATTGTCTTGGTATCCTCATTGAAAACCAATGGATGGTAAATGTGAGGGGTTATTTCTGGAGTCTTAATTCTGTTCCGTTAATCTATATGTCTGTTGTTACTGCACAGTCTTGATTGCTGTTTTAAAATCCAAAGTGTGTGTCCTCCAACTTTGTTCTTTTTCAAGATTATTTCAGCTGTTCTGGGTCCCTTACATTTCCATATGATTTTTAGGATCAGTTTCTCAGTTTCTGCAAAGACACCAGCTGGGATTTTGATAGGATTGCATTAAATCTGTTAGTCATTTTTGGAGGCTATTTCCATCTTAATATTCACTTTTCTAATCCATGAATATGAGATGTTTCTCCATTTAGTTAGGTCTTTAATTTCTTTCAACAATGTAGTTTTCAGATGGTCCGTTTTACACTTCTTTTTAAAAATGTATTGCTAACTTTTATATTTGTATTTTTTGATGTAATTGTGAATGGAATTGTTTTCTTAATTTTATTTTCAGACTGTTCAAGGCTAAATTTTTTTGTATGTTGATCTTGTATCTTGCAACTTTGCTGAACTCATTAGTTCTAACCGTTTTTTAGTGGACTCTTTAGGATTTTCTATATAGAAGATCATCTCATCTGCATAGAGAGAGTTTTACTTCTTCCTTTCTGGATGCCTTTAATTTCTTTTTCTGGACTAAGTGTCCTGGCTAGAATCTCTGATACAGTGTTGAGCAGAAGTGGCAAGATCAAATGATCTTTTCTTAATGCTATTCTAATACTGATGAAATTAAGAACTTTTAAAATGAGCCCAATCCTCTCATTCCATTTGATGTCATTAGTTGAGGGCTTAACCCGAGGACATGGTCTGAAGAGTGAGAAGTGAGCGAAGGGGCCAGTCCCCGTTTTAGGGACTCAGCCTTGAAGCAGCGCAAGTTTTTACTTTTTTTTCCCCAAACACTGGTGATGAGGCTGACCTCTGCTTCCCCAGAGCAGTGGTCAGAGCCTGGTCAAAGCGACAGAGAGGTGTGGACACATACTAAGTATGTGCACCTTTATAGCAGGTTATTTTATTGAAAGGATTACAAGAATCTGTACAGTAACATGATAGCAAGCACTTACACTGAGCCACTCATACATAATGACTACTTCAAGTTCCTACTTAAAAAAGACAATAATTTCTAGTATTCTGTATGTTTTTTCTGATAGAAAATTTACAAAATACCGAACAGTGCAGATATATTAAAAAATCACTTATATCACAGAGATGACTGCTGTTAACATGGTGTCAGTAGCTTTCTATTATTTTTTCTATCTATACATTTGCATTTATATATTTTTACATAACGGAGAATTTGAAGTAGGTATAGATCATTTTGTAACTTCTGTTTTATCACCAAAGTTGGCAATGCACATTTTCGTATGACGGTGCTATCCAGAGGTCCTCTCTAGGCTAGTGGTTTCCTAGGGGCCTGGAATGGGATAAAGCAAATATGCTCGCTGATGGGTTTTTCCCTCCCTCCTCTGCTGTAGAAATTGGTGTGTTAGCCAAGACTTTCATTGACCAAGGGAAGCTCATCCCAGATGATGTCATGACTCGGCTGGCCCTTCATGAGCTGAGAAACCTCACCCAGTATAGCTGGCTATTGGATGGTAAGTGGTGTTAGAGCATTTCAGCTGTCCAGAATGATGAGCATGGACAGAGAATGAGCATTTCGTGGCTACACATCTGGTGTGGGGTGGGGGGTCGCGCTGAGTGCCGCCATTCACCACCCTGAGGCCTTGGGCCAGTCATCTTCTCTGGGCCTGCTTCTTCATCTGAGGAGAAAGACAAAAGTGGACCGCACGATTCCTATGCTCCCTTCAGATGTGACTGGTTCCTTCACCCTCCTTTCAGAATATTTTATGAGGACGGGGAAGGAAGGGTGGAAAGTAATTTGCAATCAGTTGTAAACTTTCTCCAGCCAGAAGTGTGGCAGGAACCTTGAGGAAAGGTTGATTTTTAGTTTTTGAAGAGAGAGAGCGGTATTTATTTATTTATTTATTTATTTTAAGATTTTATTTATTTGCGAGAGAGAGAATGAGAGACAGAGAGCATGAGAGGGGAGAGGGTCAGAGGGAGAAGCAGACTCCCCACTGAGTGGGGAGCCCGATGCGGGACTCGATCCAGGGACTCCAGGATCATGACCTGAGCCGAAGGCAGTCGCTTAACCATCTGAGCCACCCAGGCGCCCGAGCGGTATTTATTTTAAGGAATTGGCTCACAGGATGATGGGGGCTGACAGGTCCCGAGATCTTCAGGGTGAAGACCCAGGAGAACCGACGGGTGGTCAGGCTCTGGTCTGAAGGCCAACAGGCTCGAGACCCAAAAGGAGCTGGCTTCCTTCCGTTTGAGTCCGAGGCAGGAAAAAGCGGGCGTCTCAGCTCCAGGGCCATCAGGCAGGAGGAACTCCCCCTTATTGGGGGGAGGGTCAGCCCTTCCGGTCTATCCAGGCCTTCTGTGGATTAGGGGAGGCCCACCCACATCAGGGAGAACAATCTGCTTTACTCAGTCTCCTGATTTAAATGTCACTCTCACCCAAAAACAGCCTCACAGACACACCCCAAAAAGTGTTTGACCAGTATCCAAGCGCCCCATGGGTCCAGTCAAGTTGACGCATAAAATTAACCAACCATCACAGTTGCCCTACAGCTGTGATCAGCCTTCCTGGTATTACTGCTTTTGTTCAGATTGTTCATCATTCCTTAATTCTCTTCTTTCTTCCCCTCTCCCAACCTTCCTTTATTCTTTTTTTTTTTTTTTTTTTAATTTGTAAAGGTTTTCCAAGGACACTTCCACAAGCAGAAGCCCTGGATAGAGCTTATCAGGTAGACACAGTGATTAATCTGAACGTGCCCTTTGAGGTCATTAAGCAGCGTCTCACTGCTCGCTGGATTCATCCGGCCAGCGGCCGGGTCTACAACATCGAATTCAACCCTCCCAAAGCTGTGGTGAGTCGTCGTGGTGGCTCAGACGGTCTGTGACTCTCTTGCCCTCCCCGATGTAAGTGTTAGGACGCCTGCTCCCGGTCATGTGGTGCGGTGGGCGAGTCCAGTGCACTCAGCTTGTTGGTAAAGGAATCCGCGGGAACGATGGGGGTTGGTTATTCATTCAGACCATTTACGGATTTCCTACTCTGTGCCGGGGAGTGTGTGAGGACTCGGGGTAAGAAGGATTAGTGACCGCTGTGGCTTATTTAGGGGTTACCGTTGGGATTCCCAGGCTATCGCTGAGTCATTTTGTATATATATGAAATTATTGAGAGGCTGCTTTGAGGAAGTCTTTTAACTCTAAGGACCAATACCGGAGATGACTCTGGGGTCACAGGGCTCTGCGTTGCAATGATCTGAGTTTGGATTTGATTCTGTTTACTTAAAAGCACGCTTTTGTGCTTGGTGCTTGCCTAGAGATGTCTAAAAATCACTTAACTGCTCATAAAAATATGCTTCAAAGATAAGATGTTTGATCCCAGCCTCTTGTAACTCCTGTTCAGGGGATCGATGACCTGACCGGGGAGCCTCTCATTCAGCGTGATGATGACAAGCCAGAGACCATTGTCAAGAGGCTGAAGGCTTATGAAGTCCAAACACAGCCGGTCCTGGAATATTACCAGTGAGTTTGTCGCTTTTCAGAACTTCTCTTACATGGTGAAGCACTAAGTCAGTTTTCGATTATCCATGCTTTATAGCTGAAATGCGAAATACCAGAAGATCCGATTCAAATTGGTTTAAACAGTACAGGAAATGTATTAGCTTGCATAATAGACACTTCCAGAAGGTAGGTTGGGCTTCAGTCACCACTAGGTTTGATCAGAGTCTTGCCACTCTTTCAGCTCTGCGTTGGCTGTGTCCGCAGACTCCCAGCGGGGGGCATCCTTTTTCGTGGAGGGATGAGTGATCAGCTTTCCCCCAAGTGAACAAAAGCCCCACATGTCACGAAGGGGGCACCAACGTGAACAGCCACTGTGGTCAGGGAATCCTGGCACTAACTGTTTTAGGCCTAGGTTACTGCCCGTTCTGGAACCAGCTCCTGGTTGGGAGGGAATAGGCTGGTGGGCTACCCCCTGGAGCGGGGAGTCCCCCCAAAGTCTGCTGTTAGGTAGAGGGAGGGCAGCCGTGGGTGCTGGGGAGGCAAGTCTGATAATGCCCACCACCCATGCTGCTGGAGGATGCTCAGAAGCCTCAGATGCCAACCTACCCTCAGATCATGTTTGGCTCATAGTCTTTAAAAGCTTGTATCTGAACACAGTTTTGTGTGCTCGTTAGGGAGTTCATATCCCACAACAAATAAGGGAACTATGCTGCATAAATACTTGATGCAGTGCCATCTGCTTAGTCAGCCTTTCCCTCTGCTCGCGGAGGAGCGACTGCATCCCCTTTGCCTTCGTAACATTCACTCAACAGTGATTCAGTGTCAAGACAGCCCGGTGCTGTGGCTGGAGCAGATTCTGGATCCTGCCTGCCTGAGTTCAAATCCCAGCTCATTGTTGATTAACCTGCTCTTAACCTCTTGCTTAACTGGGGTAAGAACACAGGGTAGAAAGAGTGCGTTACTAGGGGTGACTCCTGGAAGTGTGACTGGCGCATAGTGAACACTGTATCATCGTTGGCTCCTACTGGTGGTGGAGGAATGGGGTACGCATGCGGTGACCCCTGAAGCCAGTCTCCAAACGGTTCTAGGGTAGTACTTTCTGGAGGGTGAAATTACAAGCTAGTTGGCAATTCACTTTCCCCAGTGGCTGTTACCGTAACTTTGTCATTTGTATAAGGAGCTTGGTTCTGCAGGTGGCCAGCTGTGTGTGTGGCCCTGGGCACGGCCTTCATTCGACCTTTGTGCCACAGACTCATCATGTGTTAAGTCAGAGCAGTATTAAATAGTACCTACTGAATGGGGCTGTAAACGGGATTGAGAGAATCCACGTAGAGGCTTACCACAGCCCCGACACCAATAAATCACTCAGTGGTAGGTGCTGTTTTTATTTACTCTGCTGACACTGGTCCTCACAGGTCAGGGCCAGGCCCCAAGAAATTGCACCTGCTCTGTGTGGGTGAGGCAGAGAGCTGGGTAAATCATAGTTTCCATACAATGGGATGTGTGCTTCTGTCAATCAGGAACGTCATTCACACCAGCTTCAGCAAAGGGGAATTTATTCTAACTAAAGTCCAAATGTAGATCCTGGGTCCACGTGTTCAGACAGCGTCCTCAGGCCTGTCACGCTCAGCAACTTCTCCATGCTGGCTTCGGTCTCAGGTGGGCTGTCCCTGTGTGAGCCCCCCAGCATCCCCGCTTGTCTCTTACCAGTTCAGCTACAGAGTAGAAAAGAGGGCCCCTTTGCCAGGAACAGTCCTGGAGTCGGCACCCATTCGCTCTGATCATGTCCATCCTGGAAGCTGGGGAGTGGGGAGAGTTCCACCCAAATCTCACAGACTGGGTTTGGTGAAGGTGTTATTTCCCAAATGAGGTTTTGTTAATCACTCAAAAGTAACCAGAAGGGAGAGCGCATTGTTGCTGGGCTGAGAACACTGCAAGGCTATTGACCACCTCATGCAGCGGAAATAGGGGTTACTTCTGTCCAGAAGTGGGGAGGGGAGTTGGGAAGGCTGCAGAGAGGAAGCGTATGAACTGGGTCCCATCTTAGGAGATACTCTAGTCTATCCTAGGCTTTTTTTTTTTTTTTTAAGATTTTATTTATTGGAGAGAAAGAGCATGAGTAGGGGGAGGGAGGGGCCGAGGGAGAGGGAGAAGCAGGCTCCTCACTGAGCAGGGAGCCTGATGTGGGACTCGATCCCAGAACCCTGAGCTGAAGGCAGATGCTTAACCTACTGAGCCACCCAGGTGCCCCAGGAGATACCCTAGTCTTTCCAGGCTTCTAGCTTTTGCTCCCTCTTGCCATCAATTGAAGCTTTTCCTTCGAAACTCCTGCACATAGAGCTAGGGCTGGACTTAACCCAAAACCGAAAGTGGTATTTGCAACAATTTCAGTGGTAATCAGCATTATTTTACAATACTGACAGTTGTATTGTTTTTTAAAACTCAGCAGCAGGACATTTACAGAGTGATTAGGTTTGTGTTAACAAACAGTACGATGTTCTTACTCTTTAGAGGACCTATAGGTGAAGCCGGTTTATTTCATAGAAATTAAAATGACAAATGTCCATCCAAGGGACAGTTTTAGGATTGTATAAGGTGCCTGCTTGTGCCCTCCGTAGTGAACTCACTTGTGACACTGGCTTGATTTGAGAACTTTTTTTTCCCCAAAGATTTTATTTTTTTATATGAGAGACAGCGAGAGAGAGAGAGCACAAGCAGGGGCAGAGGCGGAGGGCGAAGCAGACTCCCCGCTGAGCAGGGAGCCCGACGCAGGACTCGATCCTAGGACCCCGGGTCACGACCTGAGCCGAAGGCAGACACTTAACCCACTGAGCCACCCAGGCGCCCCAAGAGTAGGAGTTACCTAAAGTTAGTCGTAACTCCGGCAAATTTGTAAGGCATCATAGAGGAATGCTTTTGTCTTCAGGGAAGCCTCTGAAAATCAAGTGAAAGGTTGCAGAGGGAGGACTGATTCTGTTTTTAGAAAGAAACCCGAGTTCCTCGGGTGCTCTTAGGCAGACTTTGAGACACTGTGTGTGAGTTGGAGGAGGAGGAATGCCAGAATCTCTGGAGGGAGTGTGTGTGTTCTGAAAAGCAGCCCTGGTCACCTGCTCCTGCTCGCCATCTTACCCCCAGGGGTAGAGAGACATTGGCAGCTCGGGTGGTAGCAACCCATAGCAATCTGCCTGGGGAAAAATGGAGAACACAACAGGAAACACCAGAAAACCAGTTTTTATTACCATTTCCCCCAAATTCAAAAGAGGAAAAAATAAACCTAAGCAAAAAGCAGGAAACATCACCAAATATTAGGAAGTGGTTTTGCCAAGCGGGTAAGCAAAGAAAGCCAAGGGTGTCTGACGGGCCCCATGTTTGGAAGCCTACTACCTACCAGTTTGGAGATCTGGGCTGTTACTTTACTTTCTAACACATAGTTTTATCAGAAAAATAAGGAATCTGAGCTTTAGAAAGGATTACATGAGCTATTATATTTAAAACACTGAGCACATGCTCAGTAAGTGCTCCTGTTTTTCAGATGACCATTTCCGTAGGCCACAGGACACAAATGAAACTAAAATCTAGGTTTACCAGTGCCAAGCCAATGCCTTTCTCTCCTGATCACAGACCATACTTACTGAGACCCCTAAATCCACATCATTTTTTAATTTTTTTATTTTTTTGAAGATTTTATTTATTTATTTGAGAGAATGAGAGAGAGCATGAGAGGGAAGAGGGTCAGAGGGAGAAGCAGACTCCCCGCCGAGCAGGGAGCCCGATGCGGGACTCGATCCCGGGACTCCAGGATCATGACCTGAGCCGAAGGCAGTCGCTTAACCAACTGAGCCACCCAGGCGCCCCACATCTTTTTAAAAACTCTCCTCCCCCGCCCCCCATGTGGAGTTTGAACTCAGAACCCTGAGATCAAGAGTCCACCCACTGAGCCAACCAGGCGCGCCTCACACCATCATCTTTTGTTAAGAATCACTTTGAGTCCTGAAGACACAAAAAAGTCGTCGTGTGGAATGTTTCAGGAACCAGTATAGGTTACCATTCCGTCTACACAGTAAGAATTGTGATCCCAACATGCAGATTGAAACGAATATATATATACTCATATATATAATAAATAAAAATAAATGAATATATATATATGGAAGAATTTATAGAGTATAAAAACAGAGATGCCATTTCATCATTGACTTTGTTCTCTGAAGAAGAATCCAGAGCTGGAAGGAAGCACCATGATGCATTACAATATCATGTCTCAGCTCAACCAGAGAAAACCTACACTCTGAAAAGATCTACTGTTGGACCCAAATGTGTTGTGTGGTCAAGTCTAAGAAACACATGGTCTAGATGTGAGAGTCTTCGCTGAAGGAGGCACAAGGGTTTGGAATCTTTCAAATGGTATGGCGGAGGTAGTGAACTCTGAGAATGTCTGGAATGGCATACCCAAATTGGTTAAGAGTCCATTTGAGGCCATATTCCAACCAGGGGGAAAAGATCTTCACTTCATGTCATCAGATCATACTACAACTGAAGAAAAGGATCTGGAGGTGATACTGATTTAACATGGATCCAGGGATGTGGCCAGTCAGTCAGAACCTGCTCTTAAACATCTCACCCAGACCGACAGAGCATTTAGCAAATCGAGAGCATGTAATCACAAGAAGCTGTCGTTTTTGAAAACTGTGATATGCACTGAAAACAAAATAGATCTCAGGGTGACTATGCCGTGTATTTATAGTGGTGTTGCTGTATATATGGATCTAGGATCTTTCTTCTCCCTCTAAATGTGTTATGTTCCTTATCAGTTAGGAGGATTTATTTTGCTAAACAATTTGCTAACACATTACTCAAATTACAAAAAAACAAAACCAAACCCTATTTGTTTCTTTTCAATATAGTGTTTAAATTAAAATAGAAAATTATAGGGGTGCCTGGGTGGCTCAGTCCTTCAGCATCTGCCTTCAGCTCAGGTCATGGTCCCAGGGTCCTGGGATTGAGCCTCGCTTCGGGCTCCCTGCCCAGCGGGAAGCCTGCTTCTCCCTCTCCCACTCCCCCTGCTTGTGTTCCCCTCTCTTGCTGTGTCTCTCTCTGTCAAATAAATAAAATCTTAAAAAAAGAAAAGAAAAAGGAAATTATAGGTTTATGACAAGTATAGGATATGATGCTATTTGGGGGGATGGCTCTGTTAACAGTAACACCTTCCGATTTTTTTTGTTTTTGACACTTTGCCTTGTCTGTCTAGTTAAACATTTGACTAATATTCTGTTTGATTTTGGAAATATTCTAATATGACCCAAGATTTCAATAAAGTTTCTCCTGAAAAAAAAAAAATCACTTTGAAAAAGCTCATCAGGAAGAGTCAGACCTGTGGTGGTGTTTTATTTTGTTTTGTTTTGTCATCTTTAGGAAAAAAGGGGTGTTGGAAACCTTCTCTGGAACAGAAACCGACAAGATCTGGCCCTATGTCTACGCTTTCCTACAAACAAAAGTTCCACAAATAAACCAGAAAGCATCAGTTACTCCATGAGGAAAAGTGCATATAACCAGTAAGATGAGCAGAGACTCCTCGCCTGTGCGTTTAGAAGCTCCTTGTTCTGAGACTGGCATGTATGAATTCTTGGACAATTATATTCGTTTCACTTCTACTGATTTTATTCTAGAAACTAAGGATGTGTCAAGTGAGTCCGATACTAAGATTCATCTTTTTGTCTAGTGGGTTTTACCCAGGTATCTTCTATGGGTGTGCGATTAAAACACAATCAGATGTCTTAACTTTTGAGAAATCTTCTAAAGCATAATTAAAAGAGCAATTGGTAGTAATATAACTTTTGTTCAGAAGAGTAAATGGTTGATAAAAATTTTCTTATTTTTCTGGAAAAGCTAAAAAGAAAAAATTCCATGTCACTTGGTGAAGTATCTCATTAGAGAAATGTGTGTAGACTCTTGCCAAAAAAACCGGCATCGTCAGCGCTGAGAGACACTACGTCTGTAAAATCCTAGAAAACAAGCAACTAGATGTGCAGATTAGTTTCAGGATGCAAATTCACTGCTGCCTTTACACTAAGAAACTTACAAGTTTAGCCTTATATACTGTATTTACTGTGTTGTTAAGCAAACCTTCAGTTTACTCAGAATTTTCAGTCTGCTATAAAATTGTGTTAAATCAGCATATAGGAAAATACTCAGGTTACCTAAGAAATATGTGCTTTAGGATCTACTTGCCAGTTTCTCTTTTTGATCACTATGTAAGGTCTGCTGTGATGAGTAACAGTACAAAAAGAAAAGAAAACCTATGGCCCTAAGTAAAGCAAGCATACTTGGTCGTCAGGAAGTAGAAACGGATCAGGTATGCTTGGGGAGAATTCCCTTGACACACGTAACAATCATAATTAGTAAACTAATCAAATTAGTAGCAGTTAAAAGGATTTACGTGAGAGGTTGAAAAGGACCAGGAAAGTAACTGAGTTTGCTGAAGGAGTTCTTTATTCCTAATCAAAGCAGTGGACCCCATCCTCCGGCAGGGAGAGACCTCTGCCTCTGTGTGTGTACATTGAGTAGCCATTTAAAAGTGAAGATGATTTGCTTTCTTAGTGGGGCAACAGGGATACATGCTTCCGTCCTGTGGCCTGGTAGGAAGAGTGGGGCGAGGACAGGTGGAGGAGCAACCCAACTACATCTTCACTGGCCTATTTACTCTTCCTTTACTTGGTGCTAAATCCAATGCAACAAGTCCTCGTACAAGCTGTTGATAACTGCCTTTGAACGTCTGGCCCATGGTATCCCGGGTCCTTAAAATACAAATGCCAGCAGTGGTTCTTTATGTATTTTGTGAGGGAAGAACTTTTCTTTTGATTTTTAAAAATTCAATGTTGATCTTTCAGAATGGACCAAGGCTTTTAAAAAGGATTATAGGACACATTTAATTCTTTACAAAACTTTCTGTAATGCCTTATTTGAATGTTAATATTATGTGCTTTCTAAAACTGTTGTAAACTACTAAACTAATGAATTATCACTAGGTTACCAGGCATACGTGAGTATTAGTGTACTACAATAAAATTAAATTTGGGAACCGTGGGTGTTACTTTGTCTTCGGTATTCCACAGGGCGCACTCCGTCCCCGATGTCTCCCAGGCTTCTGAATTGGTGACTGCTTTCTAATAACTGTCTTACAACAGAATATAGGCTGGTTTCATTTGAAGCTGTTATCTCCTGCTACAGGACTGCGGGCATACTGGCCTTCCTAACACACGTAGATTTGGGAATCAAGAAGAGGGGTGGAAGAACATGGCTTTGAAAACGGAGACTTCTTCCCTGTGACCATTCCCTCCCTACTCCTAAAACACTGCACCCAAAGTTTTGCACATATATCCATTACTTTGGGGAACACCTGCACTATTACTTTTTTCCTTTATTAAAGCAAATAAAGAGAACTGTTTTATGCTGAATTGGTTGGCGTCAGACCATCCTGACGAAGGCTGTCATTGCTGAGGAGCACATCCTGCTAAAGAACATAATGCTCAACGGCCATCATTACGATTTATGTGCCACATGGAAATATGTCTAGAGCTGACTGCCATGGCTAACGGGAGCCACCATCCTCAAAGGCTCATAAGAAGAACAGTTCCTTAACCCGTTACCCTATTTTCTAGAATACCACAGTTATTCCGTAAGCAGAATGTGCTGTGGGAAATGCAAACTGGCAGTACAATCCACAAATTTTCTCAATTTCATTTGAAATAGATTACACACTCACTCAAATTTCTAAACCCCAGCCCACAGCTACTTTTCCCCCAGGTATTTACAATGGCATCCCAGCAAAATAGTTTGGACACTTCATAGTTTGAGACAAAACTTACCTATGTTAACAACAAACCATGGTAATTACAGACCAAAGGTTAAATTGCTATAATGCCTGCAACCAACAGCAAGAATAAATTTGTAGTTTAAAACATGTAAGTTGTGTCTTCTCATCAACAAAAGAAATAGCTTTCTTAGTTTTGCAACTCAAGATTTTGATTTTGGAAGTTATTAGTTTAAAAATTTTTAAAACACAGTAAAAGCCAACCACTCTGTTTTGTGGGTTTTTTTTTTTTTTTTTTAAACTAATGATCATGGTTTTTCCATATACATAGCACTGACTGAAGTTAACGCCAAATTGCACTTTGGAAGGATTTTACCAAAGTAAATCAATTTGGTGATATTTCATATTTTACCAAGTGTTTGAAGAGAATCATGCTGTTTTAAGAAACCAAGTGAAAGATGCAGGATTTTTTTTTTTTTTTTTATCATTTTGATACTTATAAAAGAGAAAACTTCAAGTCTAATTCTTCAAGGCTTATGAGAATGGTTTTGACTTCATTATTAGATGCTAAGCAATTCATAATCGTTTCTTTTGTAACCACCCCCCCATCACCTTACCTAGTAAGCAAGCAAATACTTACTCCATGAGTCCGATTCTCGGAGACCTGTGAAATGGTACACAGTATCTATTATAGATGGGAAATGGATGCAAAGGGTTTTAGAAATTTTTAAAATGTGTGTGATATAGTGACAAAACTGAAATGAACAGCCTGACCTTAATCCTGACAAATACATCTCCATCCTATATCAATTTAAGAACTGAAATACATGACTGATCTTGAGAACAGTATATTGACATCTTCTTCTTTTTCTCTGAAAATGCCCCAAAGTTAACTTCAGGATCACTGCCTAAACCCACAATCAATTTTTTCATCCTGTAAGTAAATCTACTTATTAAACCAGACTCATGTTCTTTGATCAGCATGTTAATTCACTTTTAAAAGGGGAATAGGAATGTTAATCTAAAAGAACACCCCAATTTTCTAAAGAGAAGTTATAGGACATTATGAGCTTATGCAGAATTGGAAAGAACCCACTAATGGTGTAACTGGATGAGAATGTTACCCATCTATCTCCTAGAGACGAATTTTGGATCAGTATTATCTCCACTACCATGGATAAAATGACACCGAGTTAACGGGCAATAAATGAAGTAGTAGCTACTTAATTTTTTAAAAAATCTTTTATTAGAAGGTTAATTTTATCAGATGAAATAAGAATCTTTGATGGATACTTTGATGTCAAAATGTTTCATTCATCTGTTGGGACATTTCATCTGTCTGGACAGCCCAGCAAGTCTGGACAGCCCAGCAAAATTCAATCTGAAATATTATTTATTATTATTTATTAAGAAACAGAAAAAAGGACATTTTTCTTAAAGGGGGTAGTTCTTAGTACTAAAGCAGAATAAAAATAAAAAGGGTGTCAATTTACTGTTCTTAGTACTAAAGTACTGCTAAATAGGTCAAAGTTAAAGTCTCTAAGTGCAAATCATGGCATTAGTTAGGGGCCCCCAGAGTAAACTCAATCGTATGTACATACAAAACACAGAACACTTCCCTTTGAAAGTAAAAAAATATATATATAGCTACAATCTTAAATAGTTCTTCAATAATTCCCGTTTCAGAGAACACAACCAAAACACCCTTCAGTAGTTTACTCAGTTTGTTGGTCATCTCTTTCCTCCCAGTACTTGGTCATTAACACCTCTAACTTAAAGAAGGCAAAGGAGATTCAAAACAATTTGGGTGCTTCCTGGCAGATCCTGAGGAAAGGTGAAGCTGAGGAATGGGAGGTAATGGCTCAAGTAACATTTCTGTGACATCAGGGATTTCCAGTCTCTATTTGACAGGAAGGGAAAAACAAAAGCTTACTCTAGAACAGGAAAACAAAACAAAAACAACCTTCTAAAACTAGGTCATTAGTTTAAAAAAAAATTACAGGCTGATGAATACTACCATATAAATTAGTCAAACATTTTATTATAGAGTATATATTTTTATCAAAAGCACAAAAAGTTTTATTCTGAAAACCAGTAAGATTGTGATGTTACAGAAGTATGATTCAATAATTCCAGTCCATTTCTATGGGTATCACGTGCCTTATCACCTCAGTTAACACAAGGTGCAAATGAGGCCACGGCCACAGGTCTGATCACCATGTGGGTCCCTTAGCATTATTTGGTTTCTCAAATTGAGACATGTACTCCCAATCCCAGTCAGCCTGTCTTCCAAATGTGTGCTGCCACCCTCAATGGGACTGAACCAGAGACTATACCCAATACACACCAAAGCCCATGTTCCCCTAAGTCAGAAGATGAATCCTCAATAATAAGAACAGCGTAATTAAGCGATGTCATCTAATTCCAAGTGAATACTCAAATACCCTGGCACATCTGAAATGAATTCTAGAGGAAGTAGTAAAGCTCAGAAGCATTCTATGGTAACTGACCTAAGGACAGAAATGACAAATGTAGTAAAAGCCATTACCAACAAGGATCACCGAATTCTTAGAAGGAGTTGGCAGCTCGAGGCAGTTAGGTCTTCCAAGATTCCTCCTGCCTTTTAAAAAAGTCCTTGGGCTACATGAGAATGAAACAAACAACCATGATTTAAAAAATCAGATTGTTCTTCCTGTTTGTTCTTACAGGCCATTAGTATTCTTTTAAAACTTGCTCCCTGAGAGATCCCAGACTATGTCAAGTAAAGAAATTAAGAGTGAGCTTGAACTTGATCTTATTAAAAAAAAATTTATATTAGTTTTATCACTTTTTATATTACTATAACCCTTAATACTGAAAAGTCAACAGGGTAAAATTAACTTCTAAGTAATACAGTTTTAAGAATACATAGGGGATAAAGTCAGTATCTATATAAAAATGAGATTATAGTCAAGGATTTAACTGATGGTGTCGAAAATACAAATGTAATATTATTTTAAAGGGAAGGACTTTGTTTTAATTTTTACCACCCAGCTTATTTAGTAGATTATTAACTACTGATTTATTGCTTTTACTATGATGCAACACCAGACCTGACAGCAAAATTTGCAGTAGGATACAAGTACATTTTTATCTTTAATCATTTTTGTAGAGTAGGACATGTACATATCCATCCACATAAAAAGAGACTGTAGCAGATGCCTCCTAGAATCAACCAGTTCTTGTAAACATTGCATTTGTGCAGATTTTCATACTCTGATTCCAAAACTGAGAACAATAAGATTAAAGGCAAATTTAGTAGCCAAAAAAAAAAAAAAAGTCCAGTTTGACTTCCTACAACATACGGTACCACTCCTCTCTTCCAAAACAAAAAAAAAAAACAAAACAAAAAACCTAGCAGCACATAAAAAAAATTTTACAAAACGTTTCAGTACTCTTTTTTCCCCTCCCATCAAAACCGAACAAAAATAAAGTGCAGCACCCATAAAAGTGTCAAGAAAATAGCCAAGTTCTTCCTTTCTTGTAACAAAATAGCACTTGGCCTCAGCAGTCTTAACCAAATCATACAGTGTCCATCATTTTGGATTCATCATCTTCTTTATGTACCACTGAGTTTAAACTGCAAAGAGCTGTATTGACAGAATACTGAAGATAATCTGGATTCTGGGGGAAAAAAAAAAGAATATAGGGAAGAAACAATGGATGATAACAGTTTTATGCCAGTGAATGCAACTACATACTCAGTTTCACACAGTCTATTTCTCTGCAGTGTAGTACAAGTAAAGTAGGTGGGAAAGAAAATGGACTCTGAATTCAAAATTGGGTTGAAACCCAAGTGGATAAAGAAAATAGACTGGACCACTTGATCCAAAGAGGATGTGACAAAGACAGATATATGTAAAAAACAGAACTGTAATAAACACTAACATTTTCTTCCTTTTAACAAAACTTGCAATTTAAATTATTTAATCATATAAGGTACATCTTCCATGTAATTCTATGTACAAAGCTATTGACACTTTAAAAGATAAATATGGCTTTAAGTTGGCAATGTGTTTTAAAGATTACTAATTACCACAGTAAATATTAAAAATGCAAAACACTTGAATAAGGAAAAAAATGCATTTACCAAGTAAAAATTATAGATACCTTCAGAGTCTATTTTGGTTTTTCAAAGGTTAAAAACAAACTCAAATGAGAAACTATTAATCTTTTGAGAGGTATGTAGATCCATATTTTAAAAATTGAGAATAAAAGAACATTTTAATTTGGATTTTGCTTATTTTTTATTTTATTTCATTTTTTTAAAAGATTTTATTTATTTGACAGAGAGAGACACAGCGAGAGAGGAACACAAGCAGGGGGAGTGGGAGAGGGAGAAGCAGGCTTCCTGCCGAGCCCAGAGCCTAATGTGAGGCTCGATCCCAGGACTCTGGGATCATGACCTGGGCCGAGGGCAGACGCTTAACGACTGAGCCACCAAGGCGCCCCGGATTTTATTTTTTAAACTCATAAATATCCTATCTGTATATTTCTAAAGCTAGTAAGAAAACCTTATTCAATAAATGCAAAAATAAAACTATTATTTATTAAAGCACCATGACTAAGAACATTAACCCTTAAGATCCAGGACCTTAGGAAATTCTTCCCTAAGAAATCAATTTTGTCTATTCAGTTGTTCTGAATATCTGCTAGCTACTCAGAGTTTTACCACCGTTATCACCTGGTTTCATTTGTTTTTGTTTATTTTATTTAATGAACACCAATGAGGAAAATAGTCCAAACGGGACAGATGTCTTAAACTTTCCCATCCCGTAGGGAGGCATGGTTTTCAAGATTCTTTTTTAATAAAGTACAATACGTTGTGGTTCCATTATCTGTAAAAGTCAAAAAGCTAGCCAGAAGCCAGATTACCCTATCAAGTCTTGATGAAGGCAGTGGCACCAATAACTGCCTGAGGTCTGGAATACCACAGCAATTTTGGACCTCAGTTCAATCCTGCCTCTACCACCTAATGTAGTGCAGTCCTTACAGAGAAAACTACTCATCACAATTTAATAAAATTAAAAGCTGGTCTATAGGATAAACCTAAGGTAACTGTTACAACACCTGTGTCCAAGAGGCCTTGGTTTAGTTCTCTCAAAACTAAGGATGATGGTATTTGCTTATTTCACAAGATTACTGTCAACTGAAAAAATAAATAAAAGCTGAAGTGTTATGCCAATTTAAGTTTTATAAAAAATTATTAAGCTCTCATTATCCCATTCTCCAAAGAAACAGAGCGCTAAGACCTTTTCTGACAATGCAAGCCCAATTCCAAAGGCCTTCAGAACAGAGCTTACAATTTCTCTACCAAGACTGGACTGGAGTCCTCCAGAACTCATCATCCATCTCCCTGAGAACTGTAAGACCTCATCATGGAGAGACTTAAAAAAACAAAAAAGCAATCAACATACCTAACCTAATCTACACTTAAATTCTACTGATTACCCCATATTTTCATCTAGTAGCATTCTCAACACATTTCTCATCCCAGTGACTAGTCTCTAAGAGCACATGACTGTGTCTCCTGTCCTGTTTCTAGCATATGATTCAACAACAATCTTAGTGCAGGTGAAGGAGTAGTGAAGTAGGATAGAAATCCAGGACTGGAGTATTAGCCATGTCATCAGACAAACTGCTTAACCTCCCTGAGCTTCAGTTTATTCATCCATAAAAATGAATGAAAATGAATCACAGGGCTTTTGAGAAGATGAAATGAAACAACATATGAAAGTGTTTTCAAATCTATAAACTGATATATAAAAATGGGATATAATTATTACGGTACGTTTTCTCCCCAAAGCTTCCCATCACCCAGTCTACAGTCCTTCTGGGCATCTAGCTGAAATTTTATCCAGCCCTTCTCTCCCTCAGGAGGACTAGACCAGGATGCTCAACTTCTCCAACCATGAGTTATGAGCCCAAATGAACTAAGTCTGAACAATCCTGATAATATCAGCAACTTTAAAGTGTCAAAACCGCATAGCCCCAGCCCCCCATCTCGCCAAGGGAGGCCAAGTAGCAGACTCGGCAGCTATCTGATACGTGCAGTAAGAACTTACTTCTCTCAAACTAGAAGCAACTTGTTGGTAATACAGGCCCCTCAGGATACTTTAATGTGTATCTTTTCCCTCTTATGTTTAGAACCAATAACATCCTTCTAGGTTTCTTTTTTCCTTTGTTTTCATTATGTGGTATCTTAATTATAGGTTTACATATTAGACTTGACAGTGTCTTACGGTCATAAAATTCCCTTGGAAAGACCACTTACTTCCCTGTGGGCTATTTCTCAAAGAATGGAAAAGAAAATCATTACTATATTTAAAGAGCATTAAGAGATACTCTGTAGGGGGCGCCTGCGTGGCTCAGTCATTAAGCATCTGCCTTCGGCTCAGGTCATGATCCCAGGGTCCTGGGATGGGAGCCCCGCATTGGGCTCCCTGCTCGGCAGGAAGCCTGCCTGCTCGGCAGGAAGCCTGCCTGCCTGCCTCTCCCTCTCCCACTCCCCCGCTTGTGCTCCTGTTCTCGCTATCTGTCATTAAATAAATAAAATCTTAAAAAAGAGAGAGAGAGAGAAAAAAAAAATAGAGATACTCCGTAGGACAAATGGAGGGGGAATATTACACTGAGGGGAAATATTACTAATTATGTAAAAATCAAGACCTTGATTATTTCTATCCTTGAAAATTAGTATTTTTGGCTGAGTTGAATATTATCAATTGCTTTCCTTAACTATAGCTTTGGCCTATGACTTACGTAACTGAAATGGTGAAATCATAGAGACATAAGGTGTAGATATTGAAAATTTCAATCCTACCACTTTATGAGATTTAAAACTACAGGGCTTTCCTCACACTGTCTTCTGAATGAGTCTGCCCTTTTTACTGTGTAGGCAATAGACTGAACTGGCTAAAGCTGGTCTTAGAATCTTGGGGCCTAGAAATGAGAGATGACTGGGCTCAATTAAAATGCAACTAAAATCAACATGGGCAGCAACTTTCTAGTGGTAACTTAAATCTTCTGACAGAAATCCTTTCATGCTAGAAACACAGCTTTATCTAGATCTCACAGCAGAGGCTCAAAAGGTTAGTGAACATTACTAGCAAGAGCAGCTTAGCAGAAGGTGCATTAATGTATTAAAAATGTTACCTCTGGCAGGCAACACCAACATTTCATAAGATAATACCAAATAAACTCATGGAACAAATCACCTTGGTTGCCACTTGGATGTATGCTCTGAAGCTAGTTCATCCTAAGAAATTCTTTTTTTTTTCTTAAGATTTTTTTTATTTAAGAGCGAGCGCCCATGTGAGTGTGCAGTGGGTTGGGCGGGGGGCAGAGAGAGAGGGAGAGAGAAACTTTAGCAGACTCCACACTGACACTGGGCTCGATCCCATGACCCCAAGATCATGACCCAAGCCAAAACCAAGAGTTGGGCACTCATCTGACTGCCCCACCCAGGCAGCCCAATCCCAAGAAATTCTTAATAGTACAGTTTGCTGAGAATGAGATGTTCCTCAGGAGCCATCTTAAAAAGTTTATGATTGAGATGATCAATAGGTAACACTTGCCCTTAAGAGTGCTTAGGTACAACTCATCTCTTCTATATTTAAAGGAGTAGAATCTGGTGTCTCTTTAAATACCCAAGAGATGGAAGAGATTTAATGCCAAAACATGGCATGAAATGAAAGAGTTATCTTCTGAGGCGAGAATATTTAGGGATGCCTGGGTGGCCCAGCTGGTTAAGCATCTGCTTTCGGCCCAGGTCATGATCCCAGAGTCCTGGGATCGAGTCCCACATCAGGCTCCCTGCTCAGCGGGGAGTCTGCTTCTCCCTCTCCCTGCTCTGCCTGCCGCTCCCCCCTTCCTTGTGTGCATGCTTTCTCTCTCTAACAAATAAATAAATGTTTAAAAACAAAACAAAACAAAAATTTACTTTTCCAACTTACCTGTGGTAAGGATTCTAACAAACCTATAGATCCCACACTAGAATGGGGAACATGATTCTGAACTGTCATAGGTTGAAAACTTGGTGATTGAGAATAAAGTCGGACTCTTGACTTGAAAGCTTCAAGTTCATTTTTGAATGCTTCAAAATAACCTTCTTCCTCCACCTGGAAAACACACAAAACAAAGACTCTGCTTTTCAAGACTTCCAGACCACAGAGTAAATTCTAACATACATATCAGATCTGAAGTGGAGGAAGTAAAGATAAAATGAATAGTTTAAATGTACGTAGACACCACCAAGATCCCTATAAGATTTGTGGAAACTACCTGTTTTACAGGAATATTAATGATTGGTTTGCTCCATTTCCCTCTACACCAGTAAAACATACATACACACACACACACAAATATATATGTATACACACAAATATAACAAAAGTAGGAATTCTCCGTATTTCTCTTTCTTGACAGGATCCAAAATAGTTCTCATTTAACCTCTCACATTGCCAAGCAACCACCAAGGGATATTCTTTAAACCTTCTAATTCTCCATCAGTTAATGATAGGGCACTGTTAGCTGTTTCTGTAAATCTCCAGCTCTATACTCCCTATTTGTAAAACAATGAAAACTAAATAAAATTCAACATTCAATTCCATTCTGGAAGTTCCTTAGTGTTTTAGTGAAGCAAATACCTTTTCAACATTATGGAGGGAAAAAAGTATAATGAGTATTATGTTGCAGGAGGGGACCTTCCTCCAATGATGTATAACATAATCAAGATTCTTTTTTTTTTTTTAAAGATTTTATGTATTTATTTGAGAGAGAGAATGACAGAGAGAGAGAGAGCATGAGAAGGGAGAGGGTAGAGGGAGAAGCAGGTTCCCCGCCGAGCAGGGAGCCCGACTCGGGACTCGATCCCGGGACTCCACGATCATGACCTAAGCCGAAGGCAGTCGCTTAACCAACTGAGCCACCCAGAGGCCCCACAATCAAGATTCTTGATGTAAAACACCCAATTGGCAGTAGCCTCCACTTAGGTTTCCTCTGCAGATAGGGAATGACACAGTACTTATCCTATGCTAGGACTTTAGGCTTTAAGTTCAGGTGATGGAAGAGATTTTGTCAAAATCTCATTCCATAATATCACTGGGCCCATTTGTGTGGAAAACTATTTTTTCTTTAATGTAGTTTAGGTTATGTAATCAATTAAAACCTGTGAGTTATTTAGTTATTAACATCAATATCTATACAAATCACACAGACAATATTCTGTGCTGCCATTCTACCTTTTTATGAATTTAGCAATCATTTCCTTAATTATATTATAGCATTTCACTTTAATCAATATATGGTACTTGCAGAGACATACAGGATATTAGCCTTCATATCCAGAAGTAATCCTTCTCAAATGGTTATGCAACAAACCATGAAAGGAGCCAAGTGGTGCAGCTGCTGGCTTTGCTGCATGCCGAAGGCCTGGGGATTGAGATCTAGAGAGACTTGACTAATTTTTGCTTTAAGTAACCTATTCTCTATGCTAATTTCCTAACTTGTAAAATAGAAATAATAACCCTCATAAAATCGTATGAGGATTTAATGACTTAATCCATGTAGAGTGCTTAGAATAGTACCTGGCACAAAGTAGTAAGTACCATGAAAGTTAGTTATTCCTTAATTTTAAAAAATTATTAAGAACAAAATGCTAAGATTAAAGACTTTTCAGTTCTATTTTGACAAAGTAAATTTCAAAGACTAGACATAGGTTGGCTATGTTCCATTATCCTATTAATAAGCACTAGTTCAAACATATACAATCATGGAAGGTGAAGAACAAAGTATGGTTTTTATTATGCCTGTGTGTCAAGTGAACATTTAGACTAGTCATTAGAAGCCTAACTAAAACACCAACTCAATCATTTACTCATTAAAACTCTTACTGTTTTGGGAAAATTTCCTAAATGGCTGCACTTTGGAAGATTTAAAGCACTTAAGGTAAGGCTACTATCAACCTGATGTATTTTTTAAAATTTAATACATTTACCTTAATACATTTTTTTCCTCTTTATAAAAGGGAATATGTTCATTGTAGTATATATAAAATAAAATGGAAATCATATGTAATTCTACCACCCAAGAATAATCAAAGTTAAACTTCTGGTATATTTCCTTCTACCGTCTAACTGTGTATGCTGAAATGAACCATATATATAAAAAAACATGTAAAATACCTATGTAGTTTACTGGACAAAACCCGACTATGTACCCATAGAAATTAGGAAATGGATCATTACTAGCTTCTTAAAAATCAGTTCCCAAGAGCGTTTCTTCTCCCTTCTCTGAGGTTACTTTCTTCTTAAAAGTCACTCCTTTGCCTCTTCAGTTTTACTGCTTACTTATGTCCCTTCAACTATATATTGTTTAGTTCTGCTTGTTTTGCAACTTTATAAAGAATATAGAATATGTTTTAAAAGCTACTGGATATATCATTCTGTGACTTGTTTTTTTCCCACACTCTTGTTTTTTCATCCACACTAATGCTGGTTAATATTTACCCAAACGAATATCCCATTCATTCTACTGTCAACAGACACTTGGGTTGCTCCCAGGCTTTTTGCAATTATGAACAATTCTACTGTGAACATTATGGTATGTGCTGCACGTGTATAAGAGCTTCTCAAGGGCAGCAGTTCTCAAACTTCAGGGTCTCAGGACTCCCTTCACACTGTTGAAAACTGCTGAGGAAACTAAAGAGCTCCTGATTATATGGGCTATTATTTGCCAATGTTCACTGTGTTAGAAAGTAAAACCCAGGAATTTGAAAAATATTATCTAAAATATAACAACAAACCCATTACATGTTAACATTTATAACAAAAAATATTTAGTGACAAGTCTGGTTTAACAGAAGACAGCTGGATTCACACATCTGCTTCTGTATCAAATAACATCTTCGTGTTATTATGAAAACAGCTTTGACTCAAGGCCTCCTGAAACCAAGTCTTGAAGACCGTTGGGTGTCCTGGACCACACGTTGAGAAATCTGTTCTCTAGTATATATACCTCTGGAGAATTTCTGGTTGGACTGGCTGCCTTTGATGTATATGGACCAAAGAGGTCTCAGCTAAAGCTTCATCTTCCCATTTAAAAATATTAAATAGTTACTTACTTTGGCTTTCTGGAAAAATAAACGAAAACACCCTCTTGGATCCACATTACAGTTTTTGGCCATTTCCATAATAAACTGCATTACAACAGCCTGATGTGCTATTTGTTCCATTAGAGCCCCCTTCTGAAAATAGACAGATTGAAATTATGAGAAATACCTCTGGAAATTTAATATTGTGATTACTATTTGGATTTTAAAACATGATTTTCCAATAGGTTAAAAAAGAAAAGGGTTTATAGTATGTGGGAACAAGAGAAATGAGGCGGCAAAGAAAGCACACTGGAGAAAAGTCTCCATATGCTAACTAAAACAACTAAAAATATTCCCACAGTAAACTCAAGTAGATCTAAAAACAAAAAAAAATTAATTCCATTTAATAACCTTCCTGCTTTCATTTAAAGTAACATAAAAGACAAAACAAAAAAACAAAAAAGTAAATCAGAATTCCACTAAGGTTCCAGAAACTCAAGGTTCACACAATACCTGCTCAGCTTCTAGATGAAAACACCATAAAATAAGATATTTAGCAGTCTCTTCACATACAAGGTATGGATGGTCAGATAAAAATCTCTGACTATCATCCCATCGACTCAACATACCTGTAAAAAAAAGAATTAAACCACACTTGTCAAATACTCTTATAAACAAAGAAACTGGTATTTTTAATGATTTTCTTTAAAGACAATTCATAGTACCACAGCAATTTGTTAATGGTAAAAGAGCAAATGAGAGGGATAAAACTCTTTTATTTATTTATTTATTTTAAAAGACTTTACCTATTTATTTGAGAGAGAGAGCACGCGTGCACATATAAGTGGGGTGAGAGGCAGAGGGAGAAGCAGACTCCCTGCATGGGGCTCCAGGATCATGACCTGAGCCAAAGGTCATAGACGCTTAATGGCTGAGCCACCCAGGTGCTGTGATAAAACTCTTTTAAAGCAATACCAATATACTGGAAATAGCTTCCCAAGTTCACAAAAAGTTTTATTTCAGATAATTAGTCAGGTTAAAGTAAGGTGACTGGTATAAAGCCAAAAAACCCTCCATCTGGGAAACGCCTGAAGTTCCAGGCAAATTGAGATGACTGGTCATCCTATGCTGAACTGAGTACAAATGATTTCAAGAGACTCAGTATTATTTACTCACAGAATACAAAATTTTCTACTAGAAAGATGGCAAAGGGGGGCGCCTGGGTGGCTCAGTCGGTTGAGTATCTGCCTTCAGCTCGGGTCACAATCTCGGGGTCCTGGGATTGAGCCCCACATTGGGCTCCTTGCTCCCTGCTTCTCCCTCTCCTCCCCGCTTGTACTCTCTCACTGTCTCTCCTTCTCTCTCTCTAATAAATAAAATCTTTAAAAAAAAAGATGGCAAAGAAAGCAAAACCTCAAGAAACTGTATTTAGCAAACGCTTAATGAAACAGAAAAAACACATTATCTCTAATTTATTTAAAAATATCTAAGATGATATGGTCAGACGCTGACAGCATGGAAAACCAATCCAGGAATATTATAACAGTAAATATACTTTAACCATTTCAGTCATGTAAATCATTTAGGAGTATTTATAACACAAAAACAAAATCAGTTAAGCATACTTGAAGGCAGATACCATTTACTTCAAAATATCAAGCTAATCCAAATACTACTAAAGGTCTATCTTGATCTTTATCCAAATTAGTTAGAAATCTGGTGAAAAAGTCAATGCCATCATGGAACCAGCAAAGTGCTCAGCTTTTAATTTTGTACAGTAAGCCTTACACTTGAACAAATTAACTACGTTAGCTTTAGACTCTTAAGACTCATCCAGGGGCACCGGGGTGGTTCAGTTGGTTAAGTGTTTGCCTTCGGCTCAGGTCATGATCCCGGGGTCCTGGGATCGAGCCCCACATCAGGCTCCCTGCTCAGCGGGGAGTCTGCTTCTCCCTCTCCCTCTGCCCCTGCTTGTGCTCTCTCTCTCTAATAGATAAATAAAATCGTAAAAAAAAAAAAAGACTCATCCAAAGAAGTCTGTATGTCCCTGAATCATTACGGAAATTTTATAAGGTGGTCTCAACAGTTTGGCAGTAAAGCTTTCCTCTAGACACAAACTGAACTTCTATTAAAGTTTCATATTAGAACACAAATAAGAACAAAACTGAGGGCGAATGTCTTACTGAGAAATACACATTTAGCAACACATGGGAATCAACTGAAAATAAATTAATTTCCTCATTTAAAAAAAAAGGAGGGAGTAAGCATTTTAGCATTTTCACATAAGGAGTTTTACAAGCTTTATAAAGTATTTCCCCAACACTTTGGATACAGTGATTAGGGCATTTTAAATTCTGAGAACAATGATTTTGAAAGTTACTTAAAACTACTCCTCAAGGTATACTTAAAAAGTCTAATAACTTCTAGGGGTCAGATCTAAAGAAGGCATAATCTTTCTTTCTTATACCTGAAGCCATAAAATAAATCCTATGAAGCAGTTTTGCATTAGCTTTGTTATACTCCCGAAGAGGTAGTATTTCCAATTCTATCCACCATCCACAGAGAGAGCATTGCTTCTGTTTACTTTTCCATGGCAGCATCATGACTTACTGAGGCACCAAAATCCTATCTATTTTGGTTTCTTTTACAGGAAGGATAATATGAAATGGTTAGTGACACTTACAGGGATCATGAGGAAGGGTATCATTAAATGTTACAATTTTTAAACTATCCATTTAATACCTAAGACAAAATTAATACTTGAAGTTGACCACAGCTTTTCTTTATCTGAGAAATACCTGTCATCACTTGATTTCAAAAATGCATTATCAATTATGAAATTGAGGTTAGGTTACAAGTAGTCCATACACACCTATGTGAAAACAGTGTGGAATCTTACGAACAAAATACTTAAAGATAATCAGTGGCTTTAGTGGAACAGAACATAGCTGAAATTACTAATGTTATTTTGGAATTTGTAAACAAACTTACAAGTAGAGAGTAGCACAATCCAGCATGGCGACTAAGCAAGCCACCTCTGGAAACCAACTGCTTAGGTCCGAAAACTGGCCTCACCGCTTACCGTAGAGATATGCCTTGCCTGTCTCTATGCCTCCCTTTCCTCTTCTGTAAAATAAGGCTAATAACAGTATCTCACTCAGAGGGTTTCTGTGAGAATTAAATGAGTTAATACACATAAAGCACTTGGGACAGTGCCTGACGAGAGTAAATATTAGGTAGTATCAACACAAAAGGGAGTAATTCATTCTTTCATTAAATATTAAATACTTTGGTTAAGATTAATCTAGTCATTTCAACTAGCCAACCAATCTCTGAATGCTTGAAAAACCTGACTTTGACAAATTAAAATTTTTTAATTATGTGCTTTCACCTATGTATTTTCCTCAACATCTAAATCCCAATCCATCCATTGGCTCTCAGTATTCCACCTAATTCCCGAAATGGTCCTCCAATACACATTGTTACTGATTTCCCTTTCTTCTTTGCATTACACTTACAGAGTAATAGATTTGAATCCTTTAAATTATACTAATCATTTTAATGTCTCTACCTGCTAAAAAATCTCCCAAAAAGGTTGTAAGTTTCTTATTCTTTTTCTTTTTTTTAAAGATTTTTATTTATTTATTTGACAGAGAAAGAGAGAGAGACGAGAGAGGGAACACAGCAGGGGGAGTGGGAGAGGGAGAAGCAGGCTTCCCGCCAAGCAGGGAGCCCGATGCGGGGCTCGATCCCAGGACCCTGGGATCAGGACCCGAGCCGAAGGCAGACGCTTAACGACTGAGCCACCCAGGCGCCCCAAGGTTGTAAATTTCTTAATGAAAGATAAATGACCTCTTTTTCTGTATTTCTGTAGTCCCAGGGCTCCTGTATTTCCAATCACCTACCACCAGACAACTATTCCTACCTACATGCTTGCACATAAACTCATCTTATTTGAAACTAAACCCATTTTTCTTTCCCTGCCATCTATGGTGCTTCCTAGGCTCCATGTCACCCACTCAAAAATTCTAGAAATTCCTCTAGACATTTCCATTCTTCCCACATCAAACTGATCACCAAGTACTGTGGTTATACTATTATAAACTGTTAATACAGTTTATAATAAAATCAATAAATTTTCCAATGTTAAGCCATCCTTGAATTCTTAGGATAAACCCTTTAAAATATTTTTTTTCATATTATAAAAATAATGTATATTCATTGTGAAGAATTTGAAAAATCCAGAAAAATCATCTGCAATCCTTCAAGAGAAAATTAATGTTAACACTTTAATGTATTTCTTTCTGGGCTTATTTTTTAATGACTTAAACAAAATTAGAATCCTATCATACATATTAATTTTCTTTTTTCTTTTTTTCTTTTTGAAGATTTTATTCATTTATTTGACAGAGAGAGAGACAGCGAGAGCAGTAACACAAGCAGGGGGAATGGGAGAGGGAGAAGCAGGCTTCTTGCTGAGCAGGGAGCCCGATGTGGGACTCGATCCCAGGGCCCTGGGATCATGACCTGAGCCGAAGGTAGACGCTTAACGACTGAGCCACCCAGGTGCCCATACATATTAATTTTCTATTCATTTCACTCCACATTCTACTCAGGAGTACTTTATAATGTGTTTTTGAAAAGCAATATGTATGTGCTTGCACTGAGGAGACTGAATATCCACCTTCCATACAAGTGAGGAAGATCCATCATAGTATTTATGCAAACATTTATAGCTTTCGATAAAATTTCCAGTGACAACACCCTACAGACTCAAAAATGTTAAATCATAGCTAACTTTGGCTGGAAGTGAACCGATGATTGCATGAAAAACTATGCTAGATCATCAAAAAGCCACTCTGATGATCACAAAGAAAGTGATGTCAAAGATGCATATGACACTGAATAAAACTTTTGTGAAATTTTTTTTGTTTAAAAATTTTATTTATTTATTTGTCAGAGAGAGAGAGAGAGAGCACAAGCAGGGGCAGCGGCAGGCAGAGGGAGAGGGAGAAGCAGACTCCCTGCTGAGCAGGGGGCCCGATGCAGGACTCGATCCCAGGACCCTGGGATCATGACCCGAGCTGAAGGCAGCCGCTTAACTGACTGAGCCACCCAGGCGTCCCAACTTTTGTGAAATTTAAAAGAAAACAGACTTTGTTGCTAAATTGCTATTTTATATTTATAAAACATGAATTAACCAAAGTAAATAAATTAAATACAAATGTAAGGGGGGAAAAAAAATCAAGATTTCATTGCTTCAAAATACTCCATGGTATGATCGTACCATTTATCATTAAATGATAAAGTCCAGGGGCGCCTGGGTGGCTCAGTTGGTTAAGCGACTGCCTTCGGCTCAGGTCATGATCCTGGAGTCCCGGGATCGAGTCCCGCATCGGGCTCCCTGCTCAGCAGGGAGTCTGCTTCTCCCTCTGATCCTCCCCCTCTCATGCTCTCTCTCTCTCTCTCTCTCTCAGATAAATAAATTAAAAAAAAAAAAAAATCTTAAAAAAAAAAAGATGAAGTCCACCTAATTATAAGAGCAAAAATAACATAAGACAGTCAACAGATACCGTAACGGAATGTTAATGTTAAGTATGCTTGAAACCACAGAGAAGTCCCCTTATTGAGCCCCTGGAGCCCTTCACAGCTCCCTACGTATCAGGCCCATGTCTTCCAAGAGTCTGGAATGAACCCAAGTTTGAAACGCCTACGGTCGGAAGCTTTAATTACAGCGGCTCTTCCAGATGTGTTTACTTCAAAGAAGGATATCACTGTAGTCATAATTCTGACAAATGCTTCCCCCCCGCCCCGCCCCGCCCCTTACCACAATAAGCATATAACACCAGAAACATCTGCTTCCACCCAGCAGGAACAGCATTAAACTTTCACTATCTTGCCTAAGGTCTCAGCTCTATGCCACAATTTAGTCCACAGGGACTTTCATCATCTCATCATCCTGCACAATCACCAGCCGGCCCACTTCATACTGATGGAACTTGGTGAGCAGGAAGTAGCAGGTATCCAGATGTCCTGGTAAGATACACACATGCCAGAAAGTGGGGGAAAAAACCATAAAAATTTGGGAGCCTACTACCTTAGTAAAATTTCTGGGGATACAAGGAGCTGTGGCAAGTAGGGTATCTCCTCCAAAGGAAAAAGCCAGTGTACATTTCCATTAAGAAATAGGTATAATGTGAATCTGGGAGTAGCTATCAGGTCTGGTTGGCTTTGAAGACAGTAAGGCTCTGGTTAGTATTACAGGATGAGACACTGGAAGCCCCCAACACGCAATGGCAAAAACACTGCTTAGTAATCACCTGTGGATGTCAAGTCAGCCTTTTCCTCAGCCATCTCCCTGCTTACAAAATATAAGCTCGGGGGCCATGGTGGCAGACTTGAGATTATGCAGAGATTCAACGGCATGGGATCTCCCCATTAAGATATTCCAGTATAGCCTCTGAATGCCTAATTTGCCAGTAGCAGAAACCAGTGCTGAAAACTAAATATGGCACCAATATGTTGGACGGACCAGTCAACCATCAAGTAACAGACTGATTATCTTGGAACCATTTCATCTTGTAGAGAGCAGTGGTTCCTCACTTGAACAAACCCATTCTAGATCTGGTATTGCCCTCCCTTCTTGCCATGCTTCTACAAGTAATGCATCTGTGATCTTACTAAATGAGTTATTTAGTACCATACCACATTAGTTCTTGACCCAGAAATTCATTTTACAGCAAAAGACATGAAGACAACAGGCTCATGAAATTCACTGGTCTTATAAACATCACTACCCAGAAGCAGGTTTTATGGAATGGTTAAATGTTTTATTGAAGACTTAAATATAGTTATCTGCCAGGTGGGTTACAACACCTTGTTGAGATTGGGTTATTTTCCCCACACAAAATGGTTTCTTATTGAGGCATTCAGTTTACAGCAAAAATGAGGGAACTGTTTTGCACCTACTAGGTTTCCCACAGCTCCAAAGCAACTAGCTTCCAGAATGCCGACTGGGTGACAACACCTTAACGGATGCCATTCCACTAGATGCAGTGGAACACGCAGGTCTAGGAAGCAAGGATTGCAGGTGGGAGTGGCAAATCCCATTACCACAACTAAGACTCATTTCCAAAATGTTTAAAAGTGAACTTTGTTCATTTCTTCAGGTTCTATCCTTGAATTTGAATACAGTCTGCTTTCTTCTTTTAAAACAAGAAATATGAGAAAAATGAATCCTTTATGAATAAACTACATAAAAAGGGGGAAAAAATCTGAAGTACTATCCACTGCCTTAATAAAATTGAAGGATGAATGAAACTCTAAATACTTAGGGGGTGGAAAACACCACTGGAAATGTATTTCAAAATGCCACTTAATAAGCTTATTAACATACTACAAATAAAAACTATGTTTACCAAATTAACATATTACTTGGGATCAAAAAAATACGCCTTGAGCCTTAACCCCTAACATTTCCCAGTGGCATTTTGACCCCCACAGCACCACACTGCTTACCCAACACAGAATGTTGTTTCCTGACTCTGCCTTTGCACGCGATGCTGCTGCTCGCTTATCTAGAGGGAGAACTCCTAGGTGTTCTCCATAATCTAGCTCAGATATTCTCTCTTGTGGGAAGTCTTCACCACATCAACCCCAGCTCACTGTCTTTCCCCAACAGAGAAAACTAATTTTCAGTACTTTGTATACATATTTCTGTTACTATGTTTATCTGATTTGCAGTTGAAGGATCTGCAGGAATTATACAGGAACATATCCAAAACCTGAAAATAATGAATGCTAATCTTATAACCCTAAAATAATCAGATACCACGGAAGCAAAGAGGGAAAATGACAAAAGCAAAGACTACTGGGGCAATGGAAAAAGGCTATGGAGTAAGCAAAGACTACGCCTTAGAGGGTAGCATTATATAATAAGAGATTGAATTTTGCTTCTCTTCTCAATTTAGTTAACTGTCAGTCTATTTATGACCAAAAAACAGTTTAAAGCAAGAGCTATACAACTGTGCCAGAAGTAGCCACAAAACTGTGGAGTTTTGCCATTTATCTTCTTTTTGGTCCCCATTTTATAAATACACTTTTTGTACACATATTTATGATATCAAACACTTTATTTTTTTTTTTAAGATTTATTTATTTTACAGAGAGAGCGCAAGCAAGCAGGAGGGCAGAGGGAGAGGGGGAGAGAATCTCAAGGAGATACCCTGCTAAGCACGGAGCCCTGCCCGGGGCTCAATCTTACAACCCCGAGATCATGACATGAGCTGAAATCAAGAGTCGGACTCTCAACCGACTGAGCCACCCAGGCGCCCCAATATCAAACACTTCATAAAAGAAGGAAACTAAGCAGTAGACTTACCGAAATGTCTGATTTTTTGTTCGTATTTCTGCATAAATGATTTTGATTTATCTTCATCTTCTATTTCTTTTCTTTTATCTTGATTAATAAAACTCTAAGAAAAAAATTCTTGAAGTTACAATCAGATTTTATATTCACTGAATAGTCTTTCTCAGATACTGAATGCCTAGCAATGCTTCCTACAGACACTATAAAAAGGTGGTATAGTATTATACTGATATTATATTATTAAATTTATCTGTTAAACTCCTTAAAAAAATTAAAAGTTTCATTATTTTTTAAAATGGTACATGTGCAAAATTATAGAATTATTTTAGAAATCATACCAAAAAATCCAAGTGCATTAAATAGAATTTCCCTATCAAAGTATAGAAAGCTCCTTTACTGCATAATATGTATTTCGCATTATTCATTTCCATTAAATATTTGCAACTCTAGCCTAATCTTTGGAGTTCTTGCTGGAAATAAACTTAGACATTCAAAGTGTATAAACATATTTATTATAACTTCTTTGCAAAGATATAAACCTAAAATGGACCTTTGTTGTAAACTTTTCTTAGGAGAGGCCTGTTTGATTCTGAAATCAAGTACAGATTTCTATTAAGGAGGTGCTTATTTTCAGTTAATAAGCCATAAAGCAGACCAAGATGAAGTTTTTATCTAGCCAGAAAAACTGGCAGGACAGTTTCTCAGAACATTCTGTGATCGCATTTAAACCTTGTGATCATCACTGCCAAAAACAAAAAGCGCAAACTAGCTCTCTGCCAGTTTACAACTCAAAAGCACACAAGTTTATATATTTCAAAATAAAAACATTTCCTTTATAAATCCTGCTATCTAGACCAGCACTGTCCAATAGAAACATAATCCAAGTCACAAATATAAAGTTTTGTATTAGCCACATTAAAAAGCAAAAAGAAACAGATGAAGTCAGTAACACATCTATTTAACCCAACATATCCAACATACGATCATTTCAACATGTAAGACAAAAAAAATTATTAATGAAATATTTTACTTTTTTTGGTGCTAAGTTATCGGAATCTGGTGTGTATTTTACACTTACAGCACATCTCAATTCGGACTAGCCACATTTCAAGCGCTCAATAGTACATGTGGCTAGTGGCTATCGAGTTGGACAGCGCAGATCTAGACCAGTCCTCTCAAGTCTCAAGCTCCCAGACAAAATCAATGTACGAGTTTGAGCAAATGACTGGAACATAAAGATAATCCTAATTAATTTGTGGTATAAATGTAGGCTATGTTAGAACCTAAGTTAAAAAAAAAACAAAATAAAAGCAGAGACAAACAAAAATATTTCCTTTGTGACCACTGTGTTAAGAGACATTAACCTTATAAAACAAAGAAACACTGCACTTTGAGCATTCCCTCTGGAAGAAAAAAAAAATATTTTAAGTAGTTATGGTGTGTAAATGCAAACCAGAAATAAATGCTGAGAAGACACGCTCCTTAGGACAATATATACAGATACAGTGAATCATTCAGATAAAGAATGATCTTGGGGTGTGTGTGGAAATAAATACACTCTGGCACAAATACATAGGAAGTCTAGAAAGATACAACTCACTTGTAACAGTGGTTATCTCTGGGACTGAAACTGGAAGTGAAGGAAGCCTTTCAATTCTATTTTACATACTTGGTTTTTTTTTTTTTATAGTAAGCATGCTGTACTCATAATTTTTCTCAATTTAATAAAGCACTGATGGAGCTAGCGCTGTTGTACATTTAACCTATGTGTATTTCTTGTTACTGCAGCAGAACTAGGGATGGTCCAGGGGAAGGAAACTGAAAGCGCTTAAGAGGATGGGTTGAGAGTGGATGCTAGGACAGAAACAAATAGTGTTAAGGACTGAGAAGTCTAGAGAGTAATGATGGTTAAAGATAGAGTTAATGTGGACTTAGACAAGAAAGAGCAGTCTATCCCTGAAGCTTCGAGAGTTTAGTACAAACAGAAAGAAGTGTTACTGGGCGCCTGGGTGGCTCAGTTGGTTAAGCGACTGCCTTCGGCTCAGGTCATGATCCTGGAGTCCCGGGATCGAGTCCCGCATCGGGCTCCCTGCTCAGCGGGGAGTCTGCTTCTCCCTCTGACCCTCCCCACTCTCATGTGCTCTCTCTCATTCTCGCTCTCTCAAATAAATAAATAAAAAATCTTTAAAAAAAAAAAAAAAAAAAAGTGTCTGCCTTCGGCTCAGGTCATGATCCCAGGGTCCTGGGATCGAGTCCCGCATCGGGCTCTCTGCTCCTTGGGAGCCTGCTTCTCCCTCTGCCTCTCTCTCTCTCTGTCTCTCATGAATAAATAAATAAAAATCTTTATAAAAAAAAAAAAAAGAAAGAAGTGTTACTTTACACATTAGTAAAAATGAATTTCACTGCCCATTTCTTCTTCAGATGCAACAGTCAAAGAATAAAGCCTACATAATCCAGTGAGAAAATGAACACCACTCTTAATAACTACTAACTTGGCAGAAGTGCTGTACTAGTCCATTCGGTGATGTTGGTAATGCTAAATCTGGATTATTACCTGAGGTTTACCAAATACATACCGGTAAGTAACAGTGAAAGACTCTATTTAATAAATCCAGTACCTACACATTAGTGTTACAAAACTGACAGCAAGCTGACAGCAACATCGGAAAGCTCTTGTAACGTATGAGCTTTACCACATGCCTGGCCCTAACCTGTGGGCTTTTAAGAAATTACCTCCGTCTTCATACTCACCCTATATTGTTGAAGAAACCGAGGCTTAGAGATGTCAAGTGACTTGCCCAAGGTGACAAAGCCAGCAGCATGTGACAAAGCTGAGATCGGAGTCTGATTCCAGAGTCCACCCTTACATCCAGTGTGCTATGCTACAGCTACGGATTTCTATGAACGACTACCCACATTTGACACTACTGGGGATACAGGTTTCTGTAACACTTTTTTTTTTTTTTAAGATTTTATTTATTTATTTGAGAGAGAGAGCACGAGCAGGGGGAAGAGACCGAGGGGGAGAGAGAAACAGACTCCCCGGTGAGCAGGGAGCCCGATGCGGGACTCAATCCCAAGACCCTGAGATCATGACCCGAGCGAAGGCAGACGCTTAACCGACTGAGCCACCCAGGCGTCCCTCTGTAACACTTTTCATAAACTGTCAAAACTGAATACTGTTCATAGGTTCTGTTGCTTTGTTACCAAATATGCACAACTGGTTTGTACAAACACTTCCATTTTCTCTTCTTTCATTATAATCCAATAAAAAGTTGTACCTTGTTAAAAACATCCTTGCTAATGGCATCCATGTTCCACAGACACATTCTCTCTCTTTGTACTAGAGCTTCTTCTTTCTGCCGCCATTCTTCTTCACGTTGCCTTAGCTCTGATACTGCTGTTTGTGCTTTGGCATGTTCCTGATCCAAGGACTCAGAGTTATGCAGGGCTAAGCTACCAAGTTTTTGCTGAGCTTCAGCGAGATTCCATTTGCACGCCACAGAGCTCTTCACAAACTCTTTCTGCTTTTGACAAGCCAGTTCAATTCCATGGCTATACATCTGGATAAAAAACAACAGTGTAAGAAATGAAGAAGACAAGGGGTATGTTTATGCAGCACAATTCAATTTTCTTTTAGTCAAGGATTGCTGTACAATAGTTTTGGTACATACGCATTCTGCCTTCTGTGTATGCAGTTATACTTTTATATTATAGGTCTTCTTTCATGAACTAGACTCTAAACACTTCTTTGTTAATCTATACCACTCTCTGACAACTAACAGCAGCAAAAAGCCCGATAATTAGCACAATGTTCTGCCTATAGCTGGTGCTCAAGAAACATTTGATTTACAGCTTCACAGTCCTAAAAGAGCAGAATAATGAGAACAAAAGCTTCAATCTAGTTCATCACCTTACAACTCAACATGCTGAAAACCAGATCTTTAGAGTTTTGTTCTGGAAGTTCCTCACTGCAAAGAACCTTTTATTTAGAAGTAATTACTTCTTGGTTTCTATTTTCCTTCTATATTATCCCAATCCCTGGTGATCTGAGAAGTTCTTATATGGGGAATTTCTGTTTATAACTGAGTCGATCAGACAGACAGACATTCTTTAACTTAATCCTAATCAAAATAGGCAAAATTATAAAAACAAAAAAAATCCACCAAAAACTGGTCCATCCTCGTGACTGACTGTTCCAATCAAAAGCAACAGTAATCAGTTTTATCTAAAAAAAAAAATTTTTTTTTTAAGGTTTTTATTTATTTGACAGAGAGATAGAGAGAGAGCACAAGTAGGCCAAGTGGCAGGCAGAGGGCAAGGGAGAAGCAGGCTCTCCACTGAGCAGGGAGCCCGACGCAGGGCTCGATCCCAGGACCCCGGGATCATGACCTGAGCCGAAGGCAGACGCTTAACCGACTGAGCCACCCAGGCGCCCCAGTAATTAGTTTTAATATTTACTAAACCACTACACTTACAGCACTGTGATGGGTGTTTAATTCCTTATATTCTTCAGCTCTATAAAACAAAAGCTGAAGGCACATTCTTTATGACTTCTCAGCCAAAATGCAGATCAATTTCAAACTAAGTATTCAGAACAATTTTACTTCAGTCTGTTCCCTAATCTGCGTCACTACTCAAGCACTTATAATTTCATACCTCAATTATATATAGTCTTTCTCATCTGAAGTCATTCTCCACTCTACTAGACTTGGGAGTAATTTCTCCAAAAAACAAATCTGATAATTTTACACATTCTTAGAGTCTTGGGGTAAAGCACAAATTCTGTGGCATGGTCCTTCATGATCTCACTTCCTATTCTCTCTCTAGACTCAGTTCTAGTTACTCTCCTACTTGTTCGCTTATTCTTTCCAACCCCCACTCCTTTCAATGTGGCAACCCCTATCCCCCAACTCTTATCCCCATTCCAGCCTCTGGCATCACTTCCTTAAGTTTTCTCTAATCCCTTCCCTTCCCACTCAAGGTTTGCATACTTCTTAGCGGTGTTTTCACACAATATTTTGCTTATTTGTTTACTCAACCAGCAGCTTCTCGAGGGGCCAGAATTCCATAAATCTCAGATGCATAAATGATTCTCCACTTCTTGGAACAGACTAGTGGTGGCAAAGAATTCTGAGGCAAGTAGCATGAAAAGCCTCTACTTTTCAGCTGAGTTTAGATTTCTATTGTGGCAAATGTGGACACTTGCTATTCAGGTGATTTATTCACTTAGCAGGTTTGGAGCCCAGGTACCACAAGGCCCTAACCAACCAAGTAAAATATTTATTTTTATTTTTTGCTAGCTTAGATAGCATCAAGAGTAACTGTAGCCTAGCTACACTTAAGAAGGGGCCGGGAAAAGAGGAATAATAAAGCTATAAAATTTGTTTACTGTAAGACAAAGCTATACTAAGAAAGGCAATATGGACAAATGAAAATACCTTGCATTTTCAAAATTATGTGGGAAGAAATATTCATGTCTCAAATCAAACACAGAAATCTTATTTCTAAATTCTAAAAATGATTCATGTTAAATTCTTCTCCACAGACTACACAGACAACATCTGGCCATTTGAGGAAACTATCCAACATATACTGAGATGATTAAGAAAAAAAAAAAAAAAGATCACATTTTACCTATGAACACACTGAGGTTTCAGAGGAACATTAAACATAATCATATTTCATTTTATTTATCTTTTTAAAAGATTGTACTTATTTATTTGACAGAGAGAGACACAGTGAGAGAAGGGAACACAAGCAGGGGGAGTGGGAGAGGGAGAAGCAGGCTTCCCGCGGAGCAGGGAGCCTGATGCGGGGCTCGATCCCAGGACCCTGGGATCACGACCTGAGCCAAAGGCAGACGCTTAACGACTAAGCCACCCAGGCGCCTCTAAACATAATAATATTTTAATGAACATGAATTCAAAAAGGAACTGCTGGCATTAGGTTTACTAGTGTAACTTTACATTAAAAATGCTCGAACATGATCTCTAAATTCTGAGTTGCCTTTTACTTTAACTGGGTATCAGAACTATACATCACATACGACACTAAGATGTCTAGATTCCCCATGTCTGGTAAAATTAAACCAGAGCTGTTTTTGAAAAAATTATAAAATGTTTATCATTTAATGAAGCATTTTATTCTTTCCAAATATTCCAATCCAAAAACTTAAGTCCTAAAGTCAGCAAGACAAGTAGTGGGTTATAAACACATGAACTAATTTAGGATTAGTAATCACTTTGCAAATTTTAACACCAAAGGTAGTGTCAGCCAGATGGTTTTACATTACATCACAGGATGGGAAGTGAAGTGCAGCAGGTAGGAAAAAACACTGTACTAGGAGACAGAAGTGGGTTCTAGTTTTAATTCTGCCACTAACTAGCTATAGGATCTCTGAGAAATCATTTTTAATGAAGAAGATAAGCCTATTTGCTCATAAAATCACTTTCAGCTAAATAAGCTTACAATTCCAAGTGCACAAGTAAAAAATATACAGATCTTTAAAAGTTTGTTTATTTATTTATTTTAGTAATCTCTACACCCAACATGGGGCTCGAACCCAGGCCGCGGAGATCAAGAGTGGCATGCTCCTCCGACTTAGCCAGCTGGGTATTATCCAGCTTAGATATTTTCTAAGTTCAGTGTTTCTTTTAGGTTACTTTTGTGATTCAACCACAATGCATGGAAATTCTGGAGACCTCTTATTCTCTCCATACGCCTTCAAAACTGACAACAGCAGCTGCTGTTCATATTTTTTCCCTCCATAACACATTCATTATATGCTCATATAACACATTTTGTATATAAAGATGACACTAGCGATCCATAATTAGGGGGTGACTACTGACCTGTCAACTCTCATTCTGGCCTCCTAAAAAATGTCTTGCACTCTCCCAGAGACTGGCTGGCCGACGTACAGTCTATGGTTATGAAACAGCATTTTTCTCCGCGAAGCCAACTAACCCAATGAGCTGGGCATAGGACCGATGGCCTTACACTTATTGGCAAACGATTTAAATAACTCACCTTCACCAACAGCTAGCAAGATGAGCCTGGAGAAAAACTGTTAATTCAGTTAAGCTGTTAGGTACCCCGTTTTGCAAGAAGCCTAGAAGGCAGAGAGACACCTATAACCCGTTTCACTTAACATGTTAGTGTTTAGTCTGTGTTCCTGAAATGTACTTCCAAACACACTCAGATTAGGAGAAAAACCAGGACAAGGTGGTAAGAGTATGTAAGCACTCCCTAGGACAGGACCCAGAAAAATCCTAAATGGTGTGTCGTTTGGGTAAGTTTCAGATCAAAGAAGGCTGGATCGAAAACCACAAGTAGCACCAAGAATCCGAGGGAGAAGTCTGAAGGAAAAGGCAAACGTGTGCCTGTATGTGGTCACTGGAAAATGGTAAGAAGCAAAACTTAAAACGTAACCGGACGGGAAAAATGGTCACGTTCACGAGACAGATTTACACCAGCATCAAAAGCGAGCTTTACAGAATTTATTCACATGTCAGAAGTCAGTGAAATTGGATCCTAAATCTGCATAAAGTCAGGAGCTCCGTAAATTACTGAAATACAACCAACCACTCACCGTTCCAAACTGTTAACCGTGCGCAAGTATCAGAGCCTTCAGCAGAATAACGCGCTCGGAGAAAGACACGCACAAGCGGACAAAGGGTCAACGTTATAACGTTAGCCGCCCCAAATCTGGGTGCTGTCAGAAGCGGGGTGGGGTGGGGGAGGGGGAGGAACGTCTTCCAAGGATGGGAAGGAATTAGCAAGGTGAAAAGGTGTACGTGCAGGTGGAGGTTGGCAATATGTGGCCAGCCCCTCTCAGAAGCCCTCAGAAGACGCTACAATAGCCGTGGGATGAGCATCAAGCTCCGGACCCCCGGGAGTGAAATGGGGGCGCAGAACAGGGCACAAGGAGGGGCGCAGAGCCAGGGGACCCTGGGGGCCTGGCGACGGCACCTCCCCATCCCCCTCGCCAAACGCGGGACCCCTCTCACCTGCGCGCCGCCGCCCGGCAGCTGCGGGCAGCGGGGCGAACCGGGGGACACGTCCAGGTCACTCTCTTCCTCAGCCTCACCCTCGGCCCGCCGGAGGCTCCAAGGTCCTGGCGGTGGCCACGGCTGCTCCATGTCCCGCGGCCCCCAGCCCTAGAACCTCCACTGCCAACGGACTCGGCGTGGACGGAACCTGCTGCGCGGAGCCAGCCGCCCCAGCCGGCCGGGGCCGTTACCCAGAATCCCTCCGCGGGCCGCGACGCCGACGCACACCCCGCGCTGGCCTGGGCCGCAGACGGCGGAAGAAGACGGACTCGCTTGGCGACGTCACTTCCTGTTTGGGGGCGGGGTCGGGGAGGCTGGTCCCGGGGCCTGCGGGAAGGGGGTGGGCCTGGGGCTCGCGTTTGAAATTCCCTTCCCGGAAGCCTTTGAGCGCGGCCAATTCACCCCTCAGGGCCCTGCGGGTCACGTAGGGTCCGGTTGTTGTTGCCCAGTGTTCCCTGCGCTGTGCGCCTTGGGTCTCGGACGTCGAGAGATGCGGTGTCTACTTTGCAAGCTGTTTACAAACTGCGACTCCTTTCCGTTCATCCGTAGATCAGGGGTTCTGAGGCCGGGGTGGGCGGAAAATAGGGCAGAATTTTGGGAAGCAGGGCAAAGTTTTCTCTCGTTTCGAGTTCCAAGCTCCGGGAGTTCTGCGTAAGTCGGCTGGGAGGCGGGCGCCGAAGATGAAGGACCCGAGCAAGCGCGGCTCGGAAATGCGGACGAGGGCGGGTGATCGCGGGCCAAGCCGGGGCAGCCCGTGTCCCACGCGTCGCCTGCAGTCGTGCAGGCCTGCGCTCTCGTGCCCTTTGTTGAGGAGAAGAAACACACCCAACGTGCCCGAGGGCACACGTGTAGGGAGAACACGTGTGATCAGCCCGGGGGTCTAACTTCGACAGTAGCACGCTGCTGCCCTGCTCATAATTAGAGACCGAATAAAAACGAGACGCCAGGGGCGCCTGGGTGGCTCAGTCGGTTAGGCGACTGCCTTCGGCTCAGGTCATGATCCTGGAGTCCCGGGATCGAGTCCCGCATCGGGCTCCCTGCTCGGCGGGGAGTCTGCTTCTCCCTCTGACCCTCCCCCCTCTCATGCTCGCTCTATCTCATTCTCTGTCTCAAATAAATAAATAAAATCTTAAAAAAAAAACAAAAACAAACGAGACGCCATTTTTTCGGTCTCACAGCCTGACCAACTTTGCGGTTTGTCAATACCGAGGGTTGACAAGATGTGACGAAATGCTCTTAAAGAGATTGTGCTTTGTGTAACCTTTCTGGAGGGGTGATTTGACAATACCGGTGGCTTAAGGGCTTTGATTCAGCAATTTCACTACCAGGAAGTTATCCAACGGTTATTTTTGTACCAATGTCCAGTGATTTATCTACAAAGATGTTTATTGCAGCAGTTTGCAGGAAAAACCAGGAAACTAATTGCCCATTAGTAGAGGAACTTAAATAAATTATGGTATATTAATACAATACGATATCAGTCTTTAAAAAGAAGAATAGATATGTATGTGCTGATACAGAAAAATCTCCAGAATGTGTTGAGTTTTAAAAAAAATTTGCAGAATTAGATATATTTGGTGTTTACATATCTATAGCTATCTAGCTATCAAGAGCGAATGATCCAATCTGTGTAAAAATACGTGCGTGTGTATAGAAAATTCCTGGAGAGAGAGCAAGAATTCTTAATGATGGTGGGTCAGGCTGGGAGGAAAGTTTCTGAGTTTCTTTGCTTTCCGTTTTTAGTTTTCCTGTACTATACGGTTTGAATGTTTTTCAATGAATATGTTATCCCTTAATACTTAATTACAAATTACAGTTGAGAAGCACTGTGGGGTTAGGGAAAGCTACAGGGGTTAAAACAGAAAGGGAGGAAGAAAAGTAAAACACTTTTTTCTCTTTGTTTCCATGAAGGCACAAAGTGCTTTGAGCCGTGCCTGGCTTGAAGTAAGCTCTATATGAATGTTAAGTATTGTTTTATTGGTTTTCCTCCTACCTGTCTCACTACTTCCCCTCAGGCTCTTTGGCAGGCTCCTCCCCTTCTAACCGACCTCTAATTTTGAAATTCCTCAAATTTTGGCCAGTGGGGAGGACCTTATCTGTTCTTGTGGCTTTAAATAACATCTGTGTATTGACAGCTTCCTAATTGAAATCCAAGCCCTGACCTAAAGTACTTCAGACTCATTTGTCTACCTGCTGACTTGACATCTCTCTCTTTTTTAAAGTAGGCTCTACACCCAATGTGGAGCCCAATGTGCTGCACCCCCGACATCTCTCTTTGAATGCATATTTTAAATTTAACATTTACCAAAAAACCCTCTTGATCCCACTCCTTCCCTAAACTTCTTCCTATTTTCTCCATATCAATAAATGGCACCACCGCCAATCCCAAAAGAGGCCAGCCTTAATTTATCCCCCTCCTTCCTCTCCCATGTCTGAACCAAAGTAAATTTTGTTATTGTTGTTTTAAAGATTTTATTTATTCATCTGACAGAACAAGAGAGCACAAGTAGGGGAGTGGCAGGCAGAGGGAGAGGGAGAAGCAGGCTCCCCACCAAGCAGGAAGCCCGATGCGGGGCTCCATCCCAGGACGCTGGAATCATGACCTGAGCCAAAGGCAGACGCTCAACCATTTGAGCCACCCAGGCACCCGCAAATTTTGTTATTTTTACTCTCAAATACATCTTGAATCTGTCTACTTCTCTCCAGTTGTAATGCTTCCTCCCTAGCCCAGGATACCATGATCCTTCTCGGGCCTACTGCAGTAGTCTTCAATGTCTCTGTTCCATTTTTGCTCATTACAAATCTCTTCACAGTTACCAAAGAGACTTAAAAATATATGTATATAAATCAGATCATGCCACACACCCCTGCTGTATCCATTAAGTGCTTCCAGCACAAATAACAGAAACCCCAGCTAATAGAAACTTAAACCATAAGGAAAATTATTTTCTATTTAGTAAAAAGGGTGAAGATCAGTGTTCTCAGGATTGGTTTAGCAGTTTGTTGATCAAGGACTCAAGTTCTTTCTATCCTTTCCACCCTCCTAAGTCTGTTGACTTTCATCTTCAGGCTTGTCATGGTTGCAGGATGGCCGCCATAGCTCTGGACATTGCATCAAAACAGGACAACAGCCAAACAGGAAGAGAAGAGGCAAAAAGCTTTATTTACTTGTGGCTCTACTATCAGAAATAAAAATGTTTCTCAGAAGCTTCCAGTGACTTCCCCTTATATCTCATTGTTCAGAATTGGCTTAAATAAATTATGATTCACTCCCTAAAGTGAGACGCATTGCCACCCAAGCAAAACTGGAGCTCCATTAGCAAGGAAGAAGAGCTTATGGCTATTAGGTAAGCAATCACATTGTCTGCTCTAACTTTGAGTTCCTATGCTATCTAATGCCAGCCAACTCTTCAGTGTCATCTCTTAACCTCCTCTGTCCCCTGCCCAGGTCTCTCTTAGTATGCTCACTGGCCTCCTTCCGTTTCTCAAACATATCAGTTCCCTCCCTGACTCTTCACATTTTGTTGCTCCCTTCACCGGATATCTTTTCTCTAGTACTTTAAAAGTCCTGCTATCGGTCATGCTTTTCTTTTTAGATCTTAGATCAAATGTCATCCTCTTAGAGAAGCTTATCTGTCCACTGGGTCTAAATTAGGTTCTTATGCCCTCTCCAACCTATAAACTTCTCTCTCACCCCCAACACCCAGATTCCTTCCTAGTATTTGTCATACGGTTATTATCTCATGTTCACTTATCATCTTCCCCCCACCCAGGATGTAAAGCCCACAAAGGCATAGACTGTTTCTTGTTCACCATTGTACCTCCATTGTCTAGAATAGTACCTAGCACACGGTAGGTATTCAATAAATATGTGTTGAATGGATGAATAAAGAATGAATGAATGAATGGAAACAAGGATAAAAGGAAAGGTGTGGGATTAAATAAAGACAGAAGAGATGGACTCTCCCCCCCAACATGGGTCGTATTCTCACCAAAACCGTGAAGAAGGTGGCCTGAGTCATCATTGAGAAGTACTACACACACCTGGGCAATGACTTCCATACCAACAAGCATGTGTGTGAAGAGATTGCCATCATCCCCAGCAAAAAGCTCCGAAGCAAGATCACAGGCTCTGTCATACACTTGATGAAGCAGATTCAGAGGGGCCCAGGGAGAGTAATCTCCACCAAGCTGCCGGAGGAGAGAGAAAGGAGGGATAATTTTATGCCCGAGATCTCAGCCCTGGATCAGGAGATCCTGACACTAAGGAAATGTTGAAACTCTTGGACTTTGGCAGTCTGTCCAAACTGTAGGTCACTCAGCCTGCACTTGGGATGAATTTCAAAACACCACGTGGAGCCGTTTGAATATTTCTGCTGTGCTGTAATATCTTCAATAAACCTTGGACAACAACCTTAAAAAAAAAGGGTGAAAAAGGAATGCAAAGAGATATATTTTTGTAGGAGAATAAAGGGTGGATATAATGACATCATCTTAGCCATTGCTGACTTTGGGGCCTAAATCCTTCACTTGAGTTCAGTGGATACTTTTTACAAGTCTTGGAACTAAATCAGACTCTTTTCTATTTTCTTACATTGGATCATAAATATAATTCCTAGGAAACTGCTTTGGGTCATAATTAGCCTACTGCTCCCATGGACATAGAATTAGTCAGCTGACACTCAAAGGAGCAAATTAGTTTTCCTGAGCAGAAATTACTTTAAAATGAAAGGATATGGACTATGTAGTCCAGAACACCCAAGGGCAGTCCTTATGGAAGGGTTTGTGTGGTATTAAGTAAGATTGAGCCTCCAAAAGCCAGTGAATCAAAGTAGAAGCCAAAGAGTAACATATGAGTCTGACTCATAAGCTCTAATAAAGTTTGTGAAATAGATCCCATGTGTGAGTCCAGATCCCAAATGACTTCAAGATTGTTAAAAGCTGTTCAACTGCAATTTAATTCCTTCCTTGGATGCTTTCCTGATACTTGGGGAAAATTCTGAAGAAGTATGTGCACTTAAAGAAATACTCAGATTGACAGCTCCTGTTTTGGATATTCATGCAGAGGCCACTATTCTTTTTTTTTTTTAAGATTTTATTTATTTATTTGAGAGAGAGAGAATGAGAAAGAGCACATGAGAGGGGGGAGGGTCAGAGGGAGAAGCAGACTCCCTGCCGAGCAGGGAGCCTGATATGGGACTCGATCCAGGGACTCCAGGATCACGACCTGAGCCGAAGGCAGTCGCCCAGCCAACTGAGCC